TATTATTATTATTATTATTATTATTTATTTCCATGCTTCATTACAGGAATTTCCCAATTACAACGAAGCAGTTCACTTGCAAATATATACATTCACAAAACAGATAGACAGAAATAAAGAGAACTAAACCTAAATTATAAAATCGATACTAATAATTGTAATGGAAATCATAATACAGGTGATGGAACTTAAAAAATTGATTAATGACATTATTTAACGTAACTTATTTATAATTTATAGATGATACAATTGAAGGGGTGAGTGGATGAAGGAGTTATGTAGCCAAAGGTTCATTTTGAGATAATTGACTTTAAAGTATTATTGCTGGAACTTTTACATTAAATAGCTGTTGTCGGTTCAAAATAAGTAAATGTGTTGCTATAGTGGGCAAAATTTTTTCAAGAAGTAAAAAAAGTTAAAATACCTTTTTTTGAAAAATACAAAAAATATTTTTTCTACATACCTCCTTTTTCCAATTTTTTGTACAATATTTTATATTGAAAAAAGGAGTTATGTACCTACACTTATGCTTTTATGTTGACCTGTTGGAGCTATTAAGTGTGCTGTGGATAGGCGAGTATAAAAATAACTACAGTGTTGAAAATATTTTAGTTGTATATTGTTTTAAAAAAAACTTATTAACATTGCTTTAGTCATCGTTGCCACTTTCTCGGCGCTCGAATAAAATCTGCTCAAAAAACCACTTATGTTGATCTGGCACAAAGCACAGTTGTTCTTTTAGGTTCTCGATCTTTTCCTGAGATAGAGATCCGGTCTTCTCTAAATGCCTTGGGATGTAAAAGTCTCGAGGAAGAGTATCAATGGATGCTACACTTTTACGAATGTTAACTTTTAAGAAGGGGACACATAAGTCATAACTCTCTTTGTAGAGGTAAGATACAAATTCGTCCACATGAATCCATTTGATTCCATCTCTGAAATGGATTTTCTCTTTTAAGAGATTTTTTTTTCTGTTTAAAAGTTTCATTTTTTGTGGCAAATCTTCTGTGTTTCTGAAGTGGTTTTCCATGTTAATGACCAAATTTTTTTTGCTCGATGAAGCTATGACTTCCCGATACTCTTCAGGGGTGCAGATAGTTTGATGTTTCCGTAATCTCTTCTCTATTCGCCCAAACGCCCGGTCAGAATCTAAATAAGAATGACCAACCTCTGGGAATTTGTGGTCAATAGTTTTAAAATGATCTCTTTGAACAAGATATTGATATAGACAAATCATTAGAAAATTTTTATTCTGCCCGGCGCACGAGTCTGTCCAAATTATTAAATGGTCTTTCTCTTTGAGTGAAGCTTCAACTTCTGAAACTCTAAGGAGACAACTGAAAATCTCACTGCTTCCCCTGGAAGCTTGATCTTCTGTCCAAGTACAGAAAACTGTTTGGTCAATATTTTTCGCTACAATATGGATACCCAGGTTATAAAACCACATTTGGTGAAAGGTACTTCTTGTGAATGTTACAATTCCTTGAGTAGTGCGACTCTTCAGCAGGGAAACTAGATATATGACGGATGATGTAAGCTGCAACATTTTCAGTTGTTTTATTGGGTCTGTTGTTATGCTTGCCTCTTCTGTCTGGTGGGGGGGCAGCTAAGCCAGCCTTTATTTTTGATTGGAGTAAGTCAACTTTTTTGTTACTTATTTGATATAATGATACAAAAGCCCGTTTGCACACAATAGTTTGTTTGGCATTGTATGCGACAGTATATTTGTAAGAAGCGGTCTTGTGTTTCACTGCTCCAGTTCTCATCCGTTTTGGTTGGCTTAGTATAATACTCTTAAAAAGTAAACAGTTCTTAGCATTTATGTCTAATGCATAGAAAGATGTTAATATTGCTTCTCTTTCTACTATGGTAAATGCACTAGAACATTGTAGGCGGCAATTTTCAGGACACAAATTACTTGCTTCAACATTTTTAGCAGGTTTGGTCTCACCTTTGTAAGTTTTATAGGCCTGCCCTCTTTCTCTTAAAATGGCCGATCTGCGCTTCTTCCATTTATCAGGATTTCTCTGTCTTCTTCTAGTCACTTTTAATTTTGGGGAGAAGCATTTTTTTTTTATTTCACTGGAGACGAAGTCTGCTCTTCCTTACTTTGGTCAACAAGAGTTACATGATTTGTCTGACTTAGTGGTGTATGGTCGTCCTGTGACAACATCTGATCATTGTACTCACCCATCAGCTCAGAAGGATTCTCATCTTCCATTACTTTATGTCTTTTGGTTTTGGTGTTTTGAAATTTCTTTTTTCTCACTTCTGTTACATTTTCGTCATCTGAATCACTGACATCTTCTTCATTTGGTTGATATTCGTCACTTGACTCACCAAATAAATCACTACAGCCACTTTCATCGATGTCGTATTCCTCTCCATCATAGAGATTTTGCTTTGATGTAGAAGGTTGGACGTTCTTGAGGTCTATGTATATACCCTTCAAATGGCTTTGATCCTACAAAATAAAAATAACATTTAAAAAGGTGTCAAACTTCTGCCTGCATTGCAAAGAGTTCAGTTCACATCCAGCCTATGACTCCAAAATTCTACAAACCCTGCACTTTGCTCTTGTAGACTAACTTTAATTACCTATTTATTCAAATGAGAAGAAAAGTAAATACCTTGTTCCTGGAACACGTTGCCTTTGCTATCATCACCATTTATTGAAACTATTCTTTTTGGGTTAGAATCACTGTTTTCACTTTTTTCAATACTTTTGCTAGAATTAATCTCAACTGTTTCACTGCTAGTATCTCTGTTTAGAGCTAAGTTTATCATTAACCTTGTTCTGGAGGTCATTTATTGTAACTATTACATACCTCCAAATGCAAAACTTTGGCACAACTACACAATATAACCTTAAATAGACGACTGATTTGCAGCGGCTATATGGAGCATGAAAGAGGTATGTTACACAGCTGATTGTTTGTGCTAATGGATGAAAGAGGTATGTGTATCTTTATTTAACATACCTCGTTCATCCACCAGAAGTATACATCGTTGCGTTCACATACCTCCTTCATGACACTGCTATCTTCGTTAAAATTGGCTGAACAGGACAGGTGTCAGTGCGAAAAAATAGTTTAACACATACCCCCTTCATTCATTACAATAACTCATTTTTTGAAAAAATGTCACATACCGCCTTCATCCACTCACCCCTTCATAAATTTTAAGTCAATTAAACTTACTAAATTTGATTTACCTATGTCCAAATGTTTCAATTCCAACAACAAAATTAAGCCACTCGCCACTTACTACAAGACTTCGGTTCACGTTTGACAAATCTGAATATCTGAACATAGGGGATCACATTCCGGCGTTTTCGTTGTTATTTGTGCGCATGCGCACGTCCGATACTGACTTTTAACTTCATCATTTTATTGGATGTAGGCAAAAGGCACATAATTATTCTGTAGATGTAGGATGTTTTTCTTTGGAATAAATGACTGCAAGGAAAACTCTCATTATTCTACTTTAGCATTATTATTACATAATTTCGTATCCATTAAAAAACCAAATAAAGTCTCTTCACGTCGTTTTGCTGTGTTCACAATTACGTCAAGCTTTTATGACGTACAATGGAATTGTAGTTTTTAGTGACGCTATCAACGGATGACTCGAAAGACGACGTTACTAAACCGTCACCTGACGTCATGTGGTTGCTGGCGATCTTGTGATAACGAACTGTCGGAAGAGGGTGCTTACAAAACAAAAATGGATGAGATGCATCGGTCAGTGTCCAAACTTCAAATCCGAATAATTCGAAAACAGATTGTCAGGAGAAGGTATTAAAAGGAAAGGAAACCTAAGTTTGGACGAGACATATTTGTCGGTCCCGGAAAGCGGTACTCTAAAATGGAAAATGGTATATGTCTGTCGGTGGAGTTAAGACTTAAACAAGTAAAAAGGCTTTCGCCCTAAGGCGAGCAACTTCACCGCATTTTCCATGAATGAGCAGTACTTCCGCTTCCCAAAAGGCCATAGTTATGTGCGCTGTAGAACACAAAATCTTGTTTTTTGTTTAGTTATGCACATACATACATTCCGGTCATTTTTATTTATATAGATTGTTACACTACCATGTTTCGTATATCAACTTTCTCGTTGCTTCTTCTTTTTTTGTTACGCCCTTTCACCCATGAGCTTCACCGAATCCAAGTGGTTGTTAAATCGTCAATGTAACTTCAATTTGCGCATATGTTTATATGATTTTGCTCAATTCGTAAAGATGGATACAGTAGATTCTTGTATCTTCCTCACAAGGCAGATTACCGATTAGGCCTAATGAGATTGAATACACTGTATTTGAAATATTTACTGGTAAAAATAAGAAAATTCATTTTTAATCTTTATCATTAAATAGTGATTTTTTAAAATTATAGTAGAAGAGCTGCGAAGTATTTGAAGTTTTTAAATACTTTTAGAAGTATTTAGTATTTAAATACTTTTGGAAAATATTTAAATATATTTGGGAAGTATTTTAATACTTTTGTAGTATTTAAATACTAAAGGCGCCTCGTACGTAAAACTTCAGACTTGTCAGCGAAAACTCACTTCTCGTCCTTGGTAAACAATATATCGGGCGATCAAAAATGAGTTGCTGTCGAATCGCCTTTGGAAGTTCAAGATAAGTACGATTTCCCATGTAAACAAAAATTCCAAAGGTGACTCGAAAGCAAATCATTTTTGATAGCATTGTACTATTTTCTACAACTGTCAAAAAAAACAGTTATTTTCTGACGAATTTCGAAGCACGAAGTATACTAGATTTTTAAACGGTTGATTAATAGTAAGGTTGCTTTTGACTATTTAAATACTTTGCCAAGTAGTTAAGTACTTTTTAAAGTACATATTTGTATTTGATATTAGCTTAGGTATGTTTCTTCAAAAAGTATTAAATACTTTTGATTTTTGGAAAGTACTTAGTATTTAAATACTTTTAGAAAGTATTTTGCCCTGGTCTGTAGATATAGTAGCATGGAACAGAAGAATCCCACACATTTCCTCAGATTCAATACAAGCAACAATTAAGAACGAATTATATTGTGCAGATTACAGTAGACATAAATAATAGACTAAAATTTTCGTAACTGTGTCAAATACTTTCAAATTGTGATCAAGGGTTGCTTCATGATTATTTCCATACCTTTGCATCCAAATTTATTGATCTTTTCATGAGCGGAATTTGTTACTGAAAGGAAATATGGTTAGTATGGATACACGCATTAAAGGAAAGTTCTAGGTGGTACGACATTTTTACTAAACAGTCCTCCAATTCAATATATTGGACAAACTCAGAATTACCACCTTAATAAGGATAGGATGTTAGAAAAGGAGGAAAATATTTTAAGGAAAGGCTTGGACATGTATAGAAAAGTCCCACTTTACATATCGCTGATATTTACTTTTTATTATAGCTTTTGAAGCGAAACACATAAACATCAATCAACTTTGAAATATTTTACATTTTTTTTTAATACCCTGTTTCTACCTTTGTATTTCTTGAGCATCCAAAGGTTTTATTCTAATTTCCTGAGCTTTAGGCCAGCCATATGTAGGAGGCAAAGCTGCCTCGTAGTGATAGTTGAACAGCATAGACTCGATAAAGGCACGTTTCTGTTTCGGTTCCGGATAAACAGATGCAACACCTACACACAATTCATGTCTTAGAAATAATAAAGATCATTTGAAATTCAACTTTACCTGTCTGATAGCCATACTCGCATAACCTTGTTGCAATCTGCAAGGAAACTTCTTTAATGTCACTTAGATGAGGATAGACACTTCCTTCTTCAATAAGTTGCTCGGTAACATATGATGCTAATACTTGCGCCGCCAGAAGAAATACTTCCTCCTTGATGTGATGTATACCTGTAGTAATCACACCCAATGCGACACCAGGGAAAATGTAGGCATTATTCCCCTGACCAGTGTGATAAGTTTTTCCATTGTATTCCACAGGAGGGAAAGGTGAGCCACTTGCAAAAACGCAACGTCCCTGTAAATAATTAACAAAGTTTTAATTTTCTAATTGATATATATTTAACACTTTTAACCAACATATCAGGTTACGTTCGTCTCTGCTAGCATTCTTTGCCAATGAATTTAAAATAGTGATAGTAGGTATCTGTGAATTTATGTTCTCGCTTGATCAAGGTATACAAAAAACGCTAATATCAAAGACTGTGAAACATGGGCGATAAGAACATACGTCTGTATACTGGTACGCATCCTGTGCAGTACATTCAGCTTTTATAGTAGGATTACTTAGGGCAAAAATGATTGGACGCTCATTATATTCGGCCATAGATCGAAGAACTGCTGGAGTAAAAGCACCTGCTGCAGCAGATGCACCTACAAGATTAATAATAATTGTCAAGTGTTTGTTTCATTTAATGAACTTACCTATCAAAGCTGTCGGCTTAACAGACTGTACAATTTTGTGTAGATCCTTTTCAAGGGGCACATTTTTTGCATAAACTGTGGCGTTTATAGTCATCTCATCGACAGGCCTATCTTTGACTATTAATCCATTAATATCAATCATCCATATTTTATCCCTCGCTTCTTGCACAGACAACCCTTCTGCTTGAAGCGCACGTACTAGTAAGTTGGCTATGCCTACAGCGGCGCCACCAGCGCCCAAAAATAAGTACTTATTGTCCGTTACTTTCTTCTTTGTTACTTTTTGACATGCTAATAATCCAGCGACAATTACACTAGCTGTGCCTTGAATATCGTCATTGAAAGTGCAGTATACATCCCTATACTTTTCCAATAGACGAAACGCATTTGTACTGGCAAAGTCCTCAAATTGAATTAAAGTGTTTTGTCCATATCTTTGAATAACTGCATGCATAAACTCGTCAATAAAGTCGTCATATTCCTGACCAGTTACCCGTTTCTGACGTAAACCAATGTATGTCGGATCTTCTAGGAGTGTCTATAAGAATAAAATTAACATAGCAAAACTCATTTATGGGAGTACATAATTATAGTAACATTATTTCGAGGCAAGAACAAGAATTTTGATTCTGGTGATTCAAACAATTTCTGTACTTTGTTTCTACCTAATAGCAGCGGTTGAGCAAAAATTCACTATGGAATTGCAAACTGATGAAGATTTGGCGCCTAATTAAAACGAAACGCGGGTCGTGATAAATAAATTGAACAGAATGTATTGTTTGTGCAGTGTTTGCACGAAACTTTTGTCAGCATGAGGCAGGCCTGTACTCAGAATTGACCTCTAGGTGGGGCGAAGAAATCTTAAGTTGGGACAGTATGATAACGTATGCTTCATATTTTCCTGAATTAAACCAACTGCAATTTTCTGTTTTTAATTGGATTGAATTTAATTAATACTTGATAAACATTAACATTATCTGTTCTTCGTTCCTAATTAATGCCAAAGGCAAAGATAAATGATAAGACTGCAACGTTTGTATTCAAAATATCAATTGCAGAGCAATTTGTCACGACATTGGTAAAGGTACGCGGTAAGATAAAACAATGACAAAAGCGATTATCAACACCTGCAAATTTGCAATTTCCTGTACTTGATTGTGATAACATTTGCTTGGCAATTTTTCGATCTTAGATACAATGTAATAGTTCCAGCTAATCGACAGGTAGCCTTTTTAAATTTGAAAGTGATTTCATCCAGAACATGGTACCTTCTTACGATCACCCCAATGCTCATAACGTACAAAGCAAAATATATCCAAAAACTGCAACGCCAAAATCCAACTAATTCAAACTTACGTACCGCATTAATACATGGGTTTCGCATAGCGATATATAAAAATATATATAATTATTGAAACATATTCGCAATACCGAAAGAGGATACAGGCACCCCCTCATTTGCGTAAACACGCTTAGGTAATTAATTTAACAATTTTAGCAAAAGTCATACTTCTCAATACCATAGGTACCAACTACTCCTAAAACACTAAGAGCGCAGTCAATCAGTTACACAAACCAAGAGTACATTAAACAGAAGGTTACAGTAAAAGTGTCTAATAAAAATTTTCCTCTAGAAGACAATTTTTTTACCTTTTACAAGAGACGACTAAACAATCAGGGAACACTATTATATTTACCAATTTATTTTACAATTAAAGTAAATGTTCAAAATAAAAATATACTAAATAATAAAAATGTGACATTTGTTGCTTCATTTGACGTAGTCTTCACGGCGAGTAAGTGCGCGTCGGCCTTTATAATGAAGCCATCAAAATTCATTTTCTGTTATGACTGAACGAAATTTAGCAAACTGTACATTGCTAACAAGAGAACCCGATTTTCACATTATAAAGAGTCACATAAGAATAATCGATCTATTTCAGATTTTTTCGCAATAATACGTAATAACGCTAAATTAATTCATACATATGGACCACTCTGCGTATAATCACATGTAACAACTTTTAAATCAAAAACGCAGCCTGCTATAGTTACGCATCATTGTCAATATATGCATATTCGTCATCCATTTCCTTCATTATCAATGTCACAGAATGAGATTGTCAAGACCCTGAGAATGAATAGATTACCTCATACTAGTGTTCCATGGGGAAAGCAATTATTTCCTACCAAATCCACAAAATGAAAATGCGTTTACAGCTGTCCATTCCAAGTCACGCGGTTTATTTCATGAATGTCACTGGTTGGAATTCGTCTTAGATATTTAGTTTTCTATTATTTCTACACAATAGAAACTATACAAGCCTAATTTTACTAGTGAATGAAAATAAATGTTTTTCTCATTTCAACTTAATTACACAGCATATGTTCTTGTTTGCAACAATAATTTATAATTGCTATTTTATAATGGTCATGCTATCACTGTTACAATAACACGATTTTATCATAAATTTCCTGTATTACGTTGTGATACTTATGTTTATATTTATTCATCGCAATTGTAATTTGATTAGATAAGTATACAGTTTTTTGATATCTATAATTTCCAGGCAATGGAAAAAAATCAGAAGGGGCATCCACAAAAATGTAAATGACACTCATTTCTGCTAGTGTTGAAGAAACAAATTTTAGCACTTATTTCGATGGTAGCTCACAGACTAAACTTTTCCAGTCTACCTAGTTTATTTCGAAAAAGTGCTGTCGTGCTTCTTTTAGTAGGTACCAATAACATATTTACACCTTGTATATTACTGTTTTTATTTTGCACACAATGCAATCTTCATTAAACAGTAATGTGTTAGAAGCGTATTAACAACTTACATTATTGTTCGTACCAACATCTAATAGAATTGGAAGACATTGGTGTGGCTTTACACCAGCAAGCGCAGTGTATAATGCTAGCTTCCCGACTGGTATACCCATTCCATTCGCTCCCAAATCTCCAAGGCCTAAAATACGTTCACCATCCGTCACAACAATCGCTCTAACATCATTTTCTGGCCTACCATGAAACTTGATTACATCACAATTATAATGGAATACTTACCAATTTTTGAGTATGTGATAGGAATGGTGACGATCGTTAATTGTTATAAAAAGTCCCCTGGGCCGCCTATAAATCACTCCAAACTTTTGGCATGCCAATCCGACTGTGGGAGTGTAGACAATTGGCATGAGCTGCTGTACGTTTTCGCTTAGTAGACGATAAAATAACTTTTCGTTACGATCATGCAATTCTGTTAAGTACAAGTATTTATTAAGGTCCTCCTTATATCTTTCCACCGCGATTTTACATAGTTCGACCTGTTGCTCCATGGTTTTATAGCAAGGTGGTTGCAGGCCATGTATACCTAAAGCTTGTCTTTCTTCTAATGTAAAAGCTAGCCCCTGAAATGAGAGGTAGAGGTAGCTGATAAAACATTCGGAGAGACAAAACATTTCCACATTTATTACCTAATATAAAAAGTGATACCTTGTTAAGGCGTGGATCTCGCAAAAAGTCAAAACCGCACAGCTTTCCGGGGCATATGACATCACTGCCAATTCCGTGTAATTTACAAACGACTAGATTTCCTTTAATACTATTTAGTAGCAATTTTGAAGTTTGTGTTATCGTATTCCGAAATTGTAAGGGCGAGCGGCTCGCATATCCATTCCTATAACAAAAAATGGATTAGACTTTTAAATGTCGACAGTTAAAATTTTTTTAATAAATTATGAGATATCATAATTATTTACTGAGAAATGGCATGTAAATAAATATAGTTGATAGAGGAAAACCCTGTTTAGGTATTTATTTGAAGTCTTGTAAGAAAAAAAACTAGATATAAGATATAATAGTAACTCAATGTTATGAATGTTATGAATTATGATACTGATTTCACACTTGTCAATGAAACAATCAATATGATATGGGCATATCTGAACAGTTTTCCAATTGCGAGCACGAATATGACGGTTTCTAAAAATGTACGACTTTCCCTTGTAAAAGGGACTAAAATAATGATTGAATATGTTATAAAAACGCGGAGGACTTAAGTTATCGGTTTAGCGAAAACAGTATTCGAACATAACCGGTACTATTGAATAAGTAATTATTCAATGCTGGCACAACAGAATATCGAAGGATTGTCAGTGTTACTAACCATTTCTTTGAAACGAATTTGATTTTAATCTTTCTATTGCTTTAGGATACGAAGTATATAAAGTTTAGAATCACAAAGTAGGTATCTTGAAGAAACATGGTTAATTACAAATTGGTTTTGTTGTATGCTTAAGAGGGTAATGAATCTGGACACATCTGGACACTGGACAACTCTTTCCATAAATAACAGTTTTGAACAGTGTGGTAATATACACGGGGTTACTAAACATTCATGTAACGTTTTAACCTCTCCCCAACGAAATTTTTGCATAAATAACAATGTTGCCATCTTTTAATCAAAATGAATCACATTCTCGTTTGTGGCATAATCGTTATTAGTTATTTACCTATGTTATAAAAGTGATAAAAAGATTATTTTAGGAATTACCTAATTAACTTACGAGATTTGCAGAGAATTAAGGTAATCTCTAATAACCCACGTATGCCATACAACAATACAACGGTTTATCCAATAGCCCGAAGTTTTCCCAGAGTAATTAATGGTCTATTTACACATATCAGTCCCATTTGTCGCCTTTAATTTAAATCGATGTATTCAAATACCTACATCCGGCGCCGTCACCGATTTTACGATAGTCAAATTAGAGAAAATATGCGCAATTCAAGAGCTACTATTATTACCATGCGTTAAAGCAAACCAGAAAATTCTAAATACCTACCTACTTCCGAATATATACCATAAAAACCGAAATATGACCATTTCGTCATTTTTCTCTGATGATATTTGAACAGATACAAAAAGAACACTTTCTCATTGCCACTTTTTGAGCTCTACAAGACACCGTTGAGAGATGCTCAATACAGCGTTTTTTGTAGTTTTTTAAAATTGGCTTTTCTGAAATACATTTGAGAACAGCTGAAATTCAATTAACTAATCTCAAATACTTTGGAAATATTCTGAAATTGCCTAATCTGAAATAGGTACAGTTGACGTATTCTGAACTACATCTGGAAAAGGTGTAGTAGAAATAAAACTAAACACATGTAAATGAATTTTTTTTATATTACGATTTGTAGTTATATTTATGTTTACAACTTACTATAAATTTTAATTTATAGGTTTTCAACGTATCATTAGTAGTTTCACATCAAGGACAAACATATTCAGAAGAAAGATAAATGCAGTTTCCCAATTTCGTCGAGAAACTCTTGCAAAAAGTTTCGAGAATTGCCAATCTTTTATAAAGATACTACTTTTACTATGGCCCGTATGAATAAAAGTAAAGCAAACGCTTATACTTGCAATTCAAAGTAATTACTCGTAAGTGCTCCTTCGCACTGGGCGACTTAGCAGCGCTGCTAAGCAGGACAGGACGCAGTGCAGCGCTGCTAAACAAACCAGTATAAAGGGGCACTTACGAGTATTTATTTTGAATTTTGCAAGTATAAGCATTTGCTTACTTTTATCATAATTTTGTGCTATTATACCGTTACAAAAAAATAACTAAAGGTGGTCGCACACTTATCCGTTCCTTTGTCACGTTACGCACCGATAAAAAAACGTTCAACATAAAAAGGAATGGAATTTAAGAGCACGCCGCAAATGGAAGAGATGTACACTTATTACTTTCGATTTATACAATTGCCGCAAGAGGTGCGAAATTAAATAATATAACTCTTAATATAATGATAATGTATAAATTAGTATTGCTCGCGCTACTTCTGCTTATCATTGATAGATGTCTCTTGAAACCAAACCTTCCTTTTTCGAATACACTATTCAAAAACCTTCTACTCATTCGCAAAAAACCTATTTGTATGCTAAAAATTTAGGTGATATTCTACTTTTTCGTCACCTATCTGACCTATCGGCATAAACCGCAGCAGTGCGGCTCTTAAAGCTATCTGCGCAGATTACCACGTTCCGTCACGTCACGGCTGTCGACGTGACAGAACGGACAAATGTGCCACAACCTTAAAGATTGCCGCACACTTATCCGGGCCGTTCCCTTCCGTCACGGATAAAGGGTGACGCTCACTAGAGCGAAGCCGATTTTATTTAAAACATCGTTTTAAATGAGAGTGCGCACACTTGTCGGAAGCGGAAATTATAACCACATCTTCCTCATCAGAGGACACAATTGCTAAATGAAGATTAGAATAACAGATGACAGAGTGCTGTTTCGCGTCGCTACGGTGAAGCGCGCCCTATGTGCGTATAGGCACGGAAATGCGCTCCGCTGCACTTCGCTCTAGTGAGCGGCATCCTTTAATATGCGTTAGCACGAACCGTCGACGTGACAGAACGAAAAGGATAAATGTGCGGCAACCTTAAGGCGAATAACTAGGACATTTGAAGAGTTTTAAACCGTTTTAAACCATCCAAGGGGCATTTCGGGATTTTATTACGCCTTTCTTGAATTGAAGGCTGAATTTGTCATTCTCGGGCTGTACGCCATTTTACAGAGTTTTAGCTATTTAAACAACATCCTAGTATAGTCTTCAAGGTCCTTTCCATAGACATACAGGGTGTTTACGGTCTTCTCTGTATCCTTTTAAGGGGCAGCAGTACAACTTTTACAATAAACGATTAATATGTGTACAAATCTAGCAATCTACTACCTAATCAGCATTGTCCACTTAAATTATTTTTTCCTAAGGTATTTTGGCGTTTGTCGACTCCTTTTAAGCTGTACTGCCGCCCCTTAAAAGGATACAGTGAAGACAGTAAACACCCTGTATAGACCATTTACAAAGCTTTAATCCTCTACAAATTTCTGGTCGGAAGACTTTCTAACACTATCGAAAAGGAAATCAGAGCCATGACCTTGAGAAATCCCGGGACAGTGACTTTGGTAAATCCCGGGAGGTAAATTTCAGCTCCATGACCTGGGAAATCCCGGTGCAATAGCCTTAGAAAATGCCAGCCCATAACCTTGAGAAATTCCGGGGCAATGACCTTGGGAAATCCCAGTGTCACTTCTTGCGGAAAAGCTCCTTGTGATGTCACCGAATCCAAGATGGCGCATGGTGACCGCGTTCTACTGACGGATGAACGGAGAAAGTGGCCATAATAGCGCCTTCCAACACAGTTGGAAACTGCGCTAAAAAGAAATACATTGTTGTGAGACCTAACCTTCACTTCTGGGAATCCCACGATTTACCTCTAGCTAGCTCAGTTGTAATTAAAAAAAAACCAAATTTTTACACGCATCTCAAGGTCCAGCTGGATTCTGCCACCCTACAGCATTCCAACAATGACATGAATAGGTGGCTTAACCAAATCCTTAAATTCCAATACGAAACTTTACCCCCAGATTTAATAAACTTGAAACAAAGTAAGAGACGCCGACAATTACCTCTCTTTGACTCTAATAAACAAAACCTGGATTGCAATGACTGGTTTAATTTCAGACAAAAAATTGCGTAAATTTCTGTTTTACAAATTGTTACAATTTTAAACAGATAAATGACACACAAAAAAAAACAAATTACTCAAACATTACAAAAAAACAAGACAAAACAAACCACTAACTACTACTTACTTTAAAATTAGTCCGAGTAACGTACTCCGATACAAAGAGGTATCCGTACACAATCACGCAAACCAAACACTCAAACACCGACGTCTTCTCTCTTCGGGGGTTTCCGCAAAATAAAAAAAAAAACAGGACGGCGACAAACTTCTTAAACTTTTCAAAAAAATTCTTCTTAAACGGCAAACAAAAATTCTAATTAAACCTGGATCCACTACGCAAGAAACTTCCACAAAATTCAAAAATAACGTAACCGAAGAAGCGCCGGTTGGCTTTGTAACGACTAAAAAGCCCCGCTCTCTTCAAAAATTTTCTATTTAAGCCAAAAGCCCTTCTCCTTTCTTCAACATCCCGCCCGCCAATCACGCGAAGCGTCAATTTTTCAACTTCTTGCTAAACGGCACGTACGCCCGGCAATTCTGCGAAGACAACCTTATCTCTACTTCGCGCTATACCTCGTTAACGGCAAATAAAATTTAAAAAGAAATTTACCTCGAAAAAAATTCTAGGAATAAAATAAAAAAAGAACACTTCTAAGAAATTGAACCAAAACTATAACATGAAATTTACGCAATCCTGTGTCTCAAATTATTAATAACCCCCCCGGTTAATTAATTGAACTAAACAAAATTGTCACATCCAGACGCTCTATAATTTCTTTCAAGTTACAACTAAAACAAAATAACACAACAACATTTACATACCTACTTATCGTTCTTGCTGTTCCGCTAAAAGAGCTACTTCCTCGACAATGTTGTCCATTTTACTAAAACTCAGCTACTGGTTTGCCTTTAAAAAAACTTCTGATCGCGCGGATTGAACACCCCAGTGTGCGACCTCACGCTCGCCACCGCAACCGCAAAGGTTTTCGCGTGCCTTTATATAGTCTAAGACTTTTCTGGCCTTTCTAGAGAACACCTATCACGTTCCGGATGCCTTCGTAAGTTTTAACATTCAGGCTTTCCAGAGCCTTCATAGTCTTTAAAGAGTTCTCTAGGCTTTTTTAGATCTTTCTAACTCTTTTTCTTTGACCGTTTTGACTGTTTCCAAAGTTTATATCGGTTAAGGGACGTGCCTCTTAAAAGCGCTAGCTTTGCATAAGAGTATTCGCAAAGCAAAAATGAATCGTCTAGCTCTACATCTAGACGAGACACATCTATTGGTTAGGTCGAAACGAGTAGATATCTCTAAATCAAAGTGTCGGAAGAGGGTATTCATAAAGGGCATGTGGAACGTCTGGACGAAACACATCTATAGATTATGTTAAAACTTTCAGTGCAAATAAGGGTGAGGCACAATGACGAGCGATTTTGAAAGGGCTGTAAAACAAGAGCACTTAGTCAAACAAAAAAAGTTTATTAAATCATTTTAAAGTACATAAGAAAGCATTTTACAAAATAACAATACATAAATTCATTTTTGGAAATAACTCCAAGACGTCGCACAGCGATTCCTGCAGGACTTTAAACTTCCCCGTCAAATTGCGCATCGTTGTGTGGAATTAGAGTCTTCTTTCTTAACGTTGAAGATGTCTCCTCAAAGTTCAAACCCCGCCTTTTCATCGCACATGCAGAAGGCACCGGTCGAGTCCGATCAATGTTGAAGTAGTTACAACACTACGCGCTAGTTGGTATAAACTGATAAACCGCTTTATTACGTTACTAGTGTCACTCCGAAAAATTTGATCATTCTATCTTATTTACATTATGAATCAATTAGATGACATTGCTGTTGTATAGAAATTTAGTTATTTGTGCATACCGGGTGATCCAAAATAACTTCAGACAGTTTGAGTTTGACACATCAAGTGTCACTTTAAATGTCAAAATAATAAACGCCATCCATTGGCGTCGTTTTTATGTGAATTTTTATTTTCTTATCTTCGTACTGCGATCAAGGTGTTCTTTTCAAAGGTCTTTGCACATGCAACATTTTGTAAAGGGATCATGTAACCGTACTTTTAGGCTTAATGGCTTTAGGCTGTATTTGTTATTATTGTTATTACTAATCGCACAATACGTGGCACAACATTTTGCACGACGATTTCGGAATGTTTTCATACAGCTTCGAAGCTTCGATGTTCATTTATGAAAATAGGTTGATAGTCCGAACTGCAACTGAAATTAACTTTATGGTGATGGTTTAATTAGCATGACTATCCCTCGGGCAACGTTAAAATAAATATTTGAATACATGCACCGTAGCGTGTTTGATAAATTAATTTTTTTAAATTAATTAATTGCGATTATTGTTTAGTGATCAATTAAAGTGATCCACCCCTGGTTTAAAATAAATGATTTTTGGTATGTTACCAACTTTATAAATGTTTAGTTTTGCGGAAAATTCAAACTGTCCGCACTACTTTTGGATTACCTCGTACAGCAATTTGTACGGACATTCCGTGGTCAAATTTTGCTTTTAGCTTAAATTGAATTATTGATTCTTATTAAGTATTATTTTATTTACGGTTTTGGTATACGAGTTACCCTAGTTTTACACGTTATACATTGCTATACGGTAATCAATATTTTGTGCCGCGCTATTCACTATCTCTCTTGTTTGTTTGTGTTTTATTTTCGACGGCTCTTTAATATAACGTTTGATTACATATTGGTTTTCGATACAATCGAATTGTAATTACTACATTTGTTTGATAGTCATTAAACATACTCCTTACACTTATACAATTTATAACATTTCACATACTAGCGCGAATAATCACTTGATATTTCACTATCGGCATTGACGTTAGATAGAAGTACCCGCAGCACAATTTGATGTTGCCTATATAGGTCAAGTCGGCCTTTCTCGAACGTTCCCGAACGCTCTCGAATATTCTAGAACAAACACGTCATATTTCCCGGAAAGAATGTGTCACATCCGCTTTCGTTTGATGACTCATTTTTCATGGCGCCTCGATGTCTATCGGGGGTTCTATAGATTCGCTACAGTATTGTGACAATTTATACTCCTATATTTTTGGAGCAGACGGACGGACACGACGACGTAGTCGAATCACAAAAACGGAGCCGGGAAAGTAAAAACTCACGAGATAAAATTAAATAGGTTTTGTATCTCGTTTTGTATCTTTACTTTTAATACTCGTTCTTTTTTAAATCACAGAAAAATTGAAAATATCAATGATACACTAATCACAATTAACTCGAAAATTAAACTTCAGAATTAACATAGCAGTGCTTCTACTGTGATATCTGTATATCTCCACACCTATGATGACATATTCTGACGACCTTTTTGTACCTATAATATACCTATCATGGCTACCATACGCATAAAGTTTTACCAAATATGACGTAATAGATAATAATAAACAATTTATCTACTTAGGAAATGCTTTAAACTAAACCGACCACAGGCTGAACATGAATTAAAATAAGAAAGTGAAATATGAAAACTTGGTAAAAATACCAACACCAAATTTGATTATTTTAATTTTGTGTGGTCGTACTGTATATCAAAAGTTTGGTGTTGTGCTTTGTACGTTGTGTCTACACGAGCATGATTGAAGGTTGTGAATTTTTGAATTCTGTTTTGTACAACTGTTCAAGAAATTTGGTACAATATCCTAGCCTTGGTCTAATTTGCTTACACTATTAGTATCTTATGTAAATATTTAAAAATATGTATCTAAAGAACCAGTTTTCGCATACCCGGAAAACCTAACTACTAAAAAATATAGGTAGATATTAACAAGTTTTTTTTATAACAAAATATTAAACAAAACTTTATGCAAGGATACATGCCAATAGGCAATACAAATCTATTTCCGTGAAGACCGCACCTACCTACACAAATTGTAAATTTAACAAATTGTGTATATAGAATTAACTTAAACAATTAATTAACGAAAAGGATATTCAGTTTCATACTTAAAATGCGTTATAATTTGTAACGGCCTTGACTTTTTCAAATGTGGGAATTAAATCTATAGCCGAAAATGTGAAATTCTCAAAAGCAAGCAGAAGTAAAAACACCACTTCAAATCAAAGATACACGATAAGATAGTAATTATATCTTAATGGATATTAGGTAAATACCTAGAATTATATAAAAGCTTCCGAATATTAAACGAAAAAATTTAAAATTAAAAATCTATAATTGTACGCGAAACTCAAAAGGACAAATCCATCAATATTTCAGAATGAAAAAATATCAATGCGCAATTAATCATGGAAATCTCAATTCCGGAAGCCTGCATAAGAATAGCAAGGCAACAACCAACCACGCGAAGGATTAGCAACAACTTATTATTGATCAAGGTGTTCGCGTACTATTTTAGGTTACTGAAATTTGGCACAATAAACCTGTTTATATTGTACAAATGACACATTTTGGCTGTTTAAGTGCAACTATCTTTATTACGTAATCTAAATAGCGGAAAGTATTAAAATGGCACGACTACTTACAGAAGGTAGATGGGTAAAGTTGTAAACATTTTTTGACCGCCCGACAGCTGATTCATATTCCCTTTCACACCACGAAAATACTTGCGACTGCGCCAATTTCAATGTCCGTTATTGTAGGAGGATGTGTAGATTGTGAATTTTGAACAAAATTTCTTCTGACTGAGCAAACGCCGAATAGTGTATGAAAGTCACGCGTTAATTTTTAAAATATAATTCGTTATTGTCATTATGACATGAACGTGTGTTCAAGTCATTTATGTAACGTTTATCAAGCCGCAACTGCTTTGTAAAAAGCAGAGCAGTAGGTTTACGTTACGTAAGCAGATGCGCGTCGTCGTCATTAACCTGTAATGTTCACGTAACCGAATTAAAACGGCCAAACTAAACATTACCATAGAGTAATTTACCTACTCTATGACATTACGTAATTCGCATTATGACATGGGTCATTTACCTTTTGCAAAATAGGCAATCAAACTAACGCCAGCAGATAGTGTAGTCTACAACAGGGGTTGTCAAGGCAGTCACCGTTTTTTTAGCGCTTTATGTTGTCGAGTCTACCTATATATTCATAGGCCTATATATCATAAGATACATTTCGACCCGTAAAGTTGAACCGTTTCCAAGATCCCACCATTTCTGAAAAAATCCACCTCTTTTTCAAGGGGATGAAAAATCTATTAATTTTTTTCATCGTACAGAGGTGCGCGGAGTAGCAAAATTTTCGTAACGACTTGCATTTTAATAATCAAAAAACGAGTCAAAAATAAAAAATATGCCAATAGAAAAATTTTAAGAAAAGCGGCAAAAACTGAGGGAACAGTTTTAAGATATACCGTTTTTGACATAGTGGGTAAATAGCTTTTTTTGCAACTGAATTAACGTATTGGATTCGCGCTAGTAAAAAGTTTTTGAAATCTGTCTCCTCTCTCTTCTTTAATGTTGCTAAAATATTTCCTTTTGTTTCCTAGTGCCCAACTGCCTTAATTAAAACATTTTTGTTATTTCTTTTTTCTGCATTTTTACCGAAATAAAAGCAATTCGAAGTAAAATCTAATTCTTTTGCTTCCTGAACAATTTGTTTTTGTTCACTAACTCTTCTTCCTACCTGTTTTACAGCTGATGGGATTAAGCTGGGCCTGTTGATCGTTAATTTACAGGAATTATGAATAAAATCCTCACGAAGTTTATTCCAGGTTTTACATCTCTTTGGTCGGTAAAACTAACCTTCTTATTGCAGATTTTGCAAGTTTATCAACAGGCCCAACGCAATTGCATCGGCTATAATAAAACAGGCAGGAAGAAGAGTCAGCGAACAAAAACAAATTGTTCAGGAATCAGGAAGCAAGATATAATTCGATTTTATTTCGAATTGCTTTTATTACGGTAAAAATGCAGAAAAAATAAATAATAAAGATGTTTCAACTAAAACAGTTGTGCATAAGATAACAAAAGAGAATATTTAAGTAAACATTAAAGAGAAGCAAAAAGACATCTTTCGAAAAAATCTTTATTAACATCCTCCAACACGCGTTGATTTCTCATGTAAAAAAACGTGTAGGTATATCTTAAAACTGTTTTCCCAGTTTTTGGCGATTTCTCGAAATTTTACTATAGGAATAATATTTTTTTATTTTTGGTTATTAAAATATAAGTCTTCCCGAAAATTTTGCTACCCCGCGCACCTTTGTGCGATAAAAAAAAATAGACGGTTCAACTTTACGGGCTCAAGAAAATTGTCTCCTTTTTTATCATAAAACAAGCTATCTTTTACTCCCAATTTCAAACCCCTATGGCTTTTTTTTTTGTAAAAATAAGAATAAAATCGAAAAAAAAAAGGTTTTTTTCGGTTTTTCTAGGAAAATTTGGAGGTTATGTGTAAATAGTGCAGATACAACAGTTGTTCATTTTTTTATTCTTTATGACCCTTCTTTTGTTAAACTGAAATCATAGTCTGCATTTTTAACTAGAAAAAAATTAAATTGGTTTGGCAACCGTGCGCCCCTATATCCCCGGGCCTAGTGGTAATTCCATCAGCTCTGTGCATACAGAGTTCATTATTGTATTTTTATTTACTCCAGTGGTCCCGTGACCTTTTCCACCGCACGCTCTACTCACTCCTGAAACGAATAATCCAATGCACCTTTTGTTTCGCAAAATCTCACCTTCAGAATCAAATAGGACCGATGCGCACGAGCTAGAAACGTTACGAAACAAAAAGGCGATTTAGCGTTGCCAAAGACCTTCTAATAGTTTGCCTGCAACATACAGTAGAGAAGGACATGTTTTTGTTAACTTTCTTCTTTTTGTCGTGAAGTGAAGTCAAGAAATAGTTAAATTATGGCGAAAAAAAGGAGTCGATCCAATGATGTTCCTTGGGTTTATTGGGTGAACCCAAAATGTATGACCTCTATCACTGAAGTTATACTAATTATAACTGTCTAAATTCAATACCTTTATCCGCCATTTGGAGGAATAGCCAAATAGCCATTGAATTTATAACTCATTACTTTATAACAAATTTAATGGAATAGCCATAGAAGTATGACGTCATCCATAGTATTATTATACACAACGAATGAAAAATAATAATAATGCTTAAACTTAAACTAAACAAGTATAAATTGTGCACAACACTTGTGCAGATAAAGCGAATTTTTTTAACCGAAATAGCTTTTGTTTTGACATCACCAATGGATATATTTCTTGCAGACGTCTCAATCGCCCTTTGTGAGTAGCCTCTTCCGACAATCCGTTCTTGAAGTATAAGGGAATAGACCCGATCACGATAAGAGGTCGAGGAGGATGGCTATGGTTGGTAGAAATTAATTCCTTTCGTTGGGACCTTTCATTAGAGTACCACTAAAGGCATGCATATGCAAAATCTGAGACCAATTGGTTGTCATATGTGAAAGTTATGCACGTTTTACTTTCAAAACCAGCATCTCAGGAAATAATTCATGGGGGCGCCCCCCTTTTAGACAATTTGATGGCCATCTGGCACACCTTCAAGATATAGGCTACCTACTGCAAAAAATTCCAGGACTCTAGGACCATTCCGCTAGTAGTTCGAAACGGCAGAAGTGGGTCCGAACAGACAGACGGACAAAACGCAAACAATACCACATTTGTTTAATTCTAAAAAAATGCGCTAAAAATACACTAAAACATGTCTGTCTTTCTCAAAGAAACACAATGCACTCACTTAAATTTTTGTTGTGCAACAAAATGTATTGGAACGTTGCGAAACAAAATCTTGCATCTGGTGTGTTTCTGCCCTAAGTCCCTTTGAGGTTGCGTGCACACAGAGCAGCTTGGTTTAAATAGGACTTTTTTTTATTTGCCATACCAATAAAACTTAAGATAAAAAACTAAATCATTTAGCTTATACTTTCAACTTGTGCATTATGAATATGGAACATAGAATTACTTACCTGGAAATACTGCAATAAGACAGACTAAATATTTAAAAATAACAATCTGAAGTAATCAGTAATAACAATAATAAATTAAATTAATTTTAAAACATAAGTAGCTTGTACTAAATTAAACTGTACATACGGCTTTATATTAAATATTACAAAGCTCACCATTTACAGCACACCGTGTTTACGTCACAGGCTCCCACCTAACAGTGTATGGTCTGAAGTCTTGTAATTCTCCTTTGGACACAGTAGTCAGAATCCACTCAGAAATGATATGTCTGGCACTTTTGGGACACACAATACTTTGTTCAAATACAGTATCTTCTAAGTGTAGGACATGTGTTGTTTCCTCCCATTGTTCTGACTTTAGTACAGTGCCACCGTATGCAATAAAATATCGCAAGCATGTCTCAAACTGTTTTTGTCCACCTTCTTCAACTAACAATTTAACGTTTTCAAACAAATTTGCAAGTGGTTCCTTGATCTTGTTTTCTAGTGATAGTTCACTGGCCGTTTCAATCTTTTGCTTTTTAGATGGTGCTTCTGTTTCATCAACTTCTTTCTTTTGTTTGCAGGAACCATTGGGACTCCTACTTGACTTTTTTGGCGATGTGCTTGTATTAGTAGTGGTGTCACTTTCACCATCTGCATTCATTCGTAATTTTATATCTGTATTGTCTTTGGATGTATGGAACAATTTCTTGAGTTCCGTAAGTGATGTTGCCTCCTTCCAAGATTTGTCGGATCTTATTTTGGTTACTCGTGGAAATCGAATAGATATACCATCCGCAGTATGGACATCGTGTTGAGTAAATTCAGCGCCTGTAATTTCCCAAACTGGTTGCTGCCTGGGATCTTCTGCAACAAAATCTGGAATCATGGTCCTTGTACACTTTAACCACGCTGGCACGTTAGCAGGTTCCGAATTAATTTTGACCATCTTGAGCTCTGTCTGTAGTTTCTCCAGTGTTTTATCATCGTGACCTGTGTGAACTTTGGTTACAGTGCAAAATTTCTCTGTACTGTGGTCATAACAACCCATCAGGAATACTGACATCATACCCGCTTTCTTTCCAGTACCATACCAAGCTCCTAATACGATTAAGTCGGCTGTGTCCGCCATAGCACCATCGTTTAAATAGTCTTTCTTTACTTTTAGCCAATGTCTCTTGCCTGGCTCATAGATGCTTTTCAAATCTTTCAAAACTAAACCTTCTAAACCCATTTCTAACACCTTACCGATCATGCTTGACAATTGATTAGGTTTGTGAATTGTTTCCAGTTCCGAAAATACAATCCGGTTCGGAATTTCCGTCATGTTCTCTTTTAACACTTTTTTCCTATACTCTATGGGTTGCGATACTAATGATTTACCATTGTAATAAATGCAATCAAAAACGAACAGACACACGTTAGCATCTTTAAACTCTGATTTTTTGTGTATACCAAGAGTTCCAAATGGTAATGGCTTGCCAGAGACCATGTCAATCATAAGTATCTCACTATCTAATATTAAATCTTTGGCGTGAGGAAATGCTTTTGGAATGTAGTTTTTAAAATGACTAACCTTATGTGGAAGAACTGGCTTTAAACTACGCGAAAAATATTTAAACTCGTTGCCATGTTTGTGTAGTTGTACTCTCTCTCCATCGTACTTTATTTCGGCATACATCCCATTAGGACATTTCTTCATGGCCTGCTCAATAGATTTACACGCCTCGGCCAACATTGGCTGTATAGGGGTCATTACAGTTATAGAAGCTTTTAATCTTGCACTATCTGCTTGTGTTACACTCTCTTTATTTATACAACGCTTAATAACCGAATTCAAATCTTTTGATGATTGATACACTTCATATGCATCGGGATGCACACCTTGTAAAATATGCTTGGCACCTGCGTTCATTCTTAAATCGTGCTTGATTAGCCGGACAATAATTTTAAGGTCATTTGCCGTGCATTTCGGTATAATGGTTTTGAAATGATTAATTTGATCATCTTCTTTGCTTAACTGAGATAGCTGCTCTAAAAAACCATCCACTTCGTTGATCGACAATGAGCTTTTTGTGGACGGTTTCATCTTTTTACTTTGTTCAAAAAAGTGAAATATTGTGTCACCCATGTCGTTCTGTTTTAAATATTCCATCATAGTACTCTGATCTATACCAAACATTTTGCTGAAGAGCTTGATCAGTTGCTTACTCTGCAAATTGTAGATACGTTTGCAATCACCAGGTAATAATAACCGACACCACTGAGTAATATTGCCTTTAAAACCTTTACCGTTAGATCCACTGGTAAATATTTTTTTGACCACATTGGTCTTATCTGTATAACTGGAAACATTCGATATATCTGCTACAACACGTCTAAATCCTCTAAACAACAAATCTCGATTATCGGAAGTATCCGAGTCAGTTTGGTCTTTATTTGGAGGTTCCTTACTTGTGCTCGCGCTGTTCCGTCTTACAGGCTGGGTAGCTTTCTTCGGACTTGCTTTGGGAGTATTGGGTTTGGATGATGGTGCTTTTAATCCATATTTTTGTGCAATATTCTTCTCGCTTTCTTTAATTCTATTAATGATGTCCGCTTTATCCGCATCATCTAAATTGTCAAAACCGTCAATTTCCTCTGCCGATTGTATTCGTAGTGTGGTCGCCCTTTGCTTCAAAAATTGTTCAAACATACAATCCAAATGATACCAATTATTCATTTTTCCAGCTCCAAATGGACTAGGTACGACTTTGGCTATGCGTAATTCGGCAACAACACACTTGGCTTTACATTTTTTACAAGCAGCTCTTCCCTGTTTAGCGCGATCGATCACGAATGCTTTCTCATTGGTGTTATCTTCTGCATCAGACATGTTGAGTGATGATTCTAAAAATTCAAAATTAGGTAATCAAACTGCGCATTCTACAAATTTAACAAATGAACATAAACAATTCGAATTTTACCTAATATCAGTCAGAACCAAGCTACACATATTTCATTTTGTGGGTCAACTTAGGGCCAGTATGTTATACTTTGGGCTAAACCGAGGGCTAAACTACACTTGATCTGTATTAAGTAGGAGAGAGTGATTGTGTTTCTGCCCCTCACAGTTTTATCTACCTTTAACAGTTCCCAAAACAACAAGCGATTGCCATATTTTATAATATTATGTTACTTATTTCCTGCTTTAACTTAAGGTATGGTACAGAGACTTGCTATAACTAGACTGCGCGTAACGTATCGAATGTGTTGTCGACACAGTATGCAACACACAATGCACTGCGGGGCAAACCGCAGAGATACATGTATAAAGAAATAAGCTGTCATTTTTGATGTTCCGTAAGGCACAAAACAAGGTGCTGCTGTGTGGATTGATATATGATGAAATGTCCATTCGCAAATATGTAGAATGGACAGGAAAACGATATTTCGGCTACGTAGATTTTGGTGCTGATATAGAGAGTGATGCTTTACCTGAGGCGAAGGAAGCTTTAGTCTTTCTATTAGTTGCTCTGAATTGCCGATGGAAACTTCCTGTTGGGTATTTTTTACTTAATGGCCTTAAAGCAGCCGAGAAGGCTAACTTGATATTAGAATGTCTTCAACGTGTTGGCCAATGTGATAATATTAAAGTATCGTCTCTCACGTTTGATGGCACAGCAACAAATTTTTCCGTAGCATCACAATTAGGAGCAAAATTATCTTATCCGGAATTACAGCCCTGGTTTTTACATCCACTCACCAATGAAAGAGTACATATTATACTTGATCCTTGTCATATGATAAAGCTGATTAGAAATACTCTTGCGGATTGGCATGTTCTTGCAGACCAAGATGGACGACAAATTAAATGGGAATTTTTTAAAACGTTGGTCTCTTTACAACAAACTGAAGGTCTCCACGCTGCGAACAAATTAACCCAACGACATATTAATTTCAGACAAGAGATTATGAAAGTGAGATTAGCAGTGCAGATTTTTAGTATAAGTGTAGCAAATGCTCTAGATTATTGCAACAAAGACCTTAACTTAAAATCATTCGCAGATTCTGAGGGCACTTCAAATTTTTGCCGAAAAATTAATGATATATTTGACGCTTTAAATTCCAGGAATTTATTGTCGAAGAGTAGTTTGGGAAGGCCATTAACATTAGAAAATATTACTTTCTTCACGACGTTTTTTAAAAGTTCCATTCAATATCTCTCTACACTGCATACTTTTAATGGAGAAAATGTTCTAATGACACGCAGAAAGACGGGATTTAAAGGTCTATGTATGATAAGTGTTCAGAATATGATGGACGATCTGATAAAAACAAAACTTTTGGACTACATCTTGACGTACAAAGTAAGTCAAGATCATATAGAGATGTTTTTCTCAGCTATTGGATCACGAGGAGGTTATAATAATAATCCAACAGCCAAGCAGTTCGAGGGCGCCTACAAAAGACTTTTGCTCAAAACAGAAATTTCATCCTCCGTTTCCGCGAATTGTGTACAAATAGATAATACGTCTATTTTAACAATAAGTAGTGGATGTAAGAAAGAACAGCATGCCGATGATCTACCTGATTTCATAGATAATGAAGAAAATTATACAGAAAATGAAGATATACTAGATTTTCCACATTGGTCTCCATATTTAATAGACGTAATTAAGTATATTTCAGGTTATGTTGCAAGAAAAATAGCTAAGTGTGTTAAATGTTCTATATGTGCAGATGCGGTATTCGCATCAGAGAGTCAATCAAAGCTTTTGTCTAGAAAAAATCGTGGAGGATTGTTGCACGCATCTAGTGATGTCATAAAAATTTGTCAAATTGCTGAAAATGTGTTCAGGTTCTTTATTCAATCAACACCACATCCCGTTGTAAACAAAATGGTTATCAGCGGCCTAAGAAAAATAAATAATAGTTACAGCCCATTTGCGTGTTTGGATAGCCATATATTGAATCAGGATCCTCTAAATAATCATGTCTTGCAACTTACATCCTTAGTTTTAAGAGTATATTTTACCATACGTGTTCACCACCAAAATACACATATAAATCAAATTAAGACTAGAGTAAGGCAGTTATATACAAATTTAGTTCAATTCAAACACCAATAAATGTTATTAAAAGTGTTAACAGTTATATGTAGTTTTGTTTTGGTACTAAAATCCATTGAATACATATGCTACAGCATGCTGCGAGAACGTATTCTGCCCCGCACTGTACTGTTGGTTGCCTATCCTATCTTGACAACAGGCGTTTATAGTAAAATCTACGTTACGCGCAGTCTAGTTATATCAAGTCTCTGGTATGGTATACTAAAATTTGTTTGGAGGTTTGCTAAGTGTCTAAAAATTATTTTGCTAGTACAAATTAGAAGCAGACCATTAGTAAATCTTATGATACTTAGATGCTCGTATAAACCAAAATAAATTTTTTAAGGAATTTTTGTGATGATGATGGGAAGAAGTGTCATCTGAGATGACAAACTCGTAGTATGGCGGGAAGGCATAACGACCTCAATCAAGTACGGTACTAACAATCGAAGGGATCAGCGAAAACTGTGGTTAAGTCACATTTTTGAGTTTTGAGTTATAGTTGTTTGAAAGTTTTAAAAGATTGCCACCTTTACGTATAATCCAGTAAAATTGTATTTTTACCAGGAAAGTTGTGGGGTAGTTTTGATTTCTTAGATTTTATATGTTTTTTGGAGTGCTGAATCCGAATCTGAGGTTTGCTAACAAAATTTCATGACGCAACATTCAAAAAAATACAAAAGAAGTTGAAAAAGATATTTTTTTGGCAGTGTTGTGCTTACAACTTGAAAACTATCAACTTTTCGAAAATAACCTTCCTATTCAAAATTAAAGTACATAAAATTTCCTACAGACCCCACTATTTAGTTTTTTCCTCGATAAACCGTTCGGGCTCAAGCGCCAGTTGAAAATTGGCGTATTTCGGCTATCTCCACAAAACATAGTTTTTTCGCACTAAAACCCTAAATTAATATTAAGCGTTGTCAATAAGTGAATTCCTTGCATTTACCGACTATTATTTGAATTTATATGTAAGGGTGGTTTTTTCTCATTTTTATAACATTCAAGGTGTTTATTGTAGTCCAGAATTGTATGAAAAGTTAATTTCTAACGAACAACAGTATATCATATTATTATATTATTTATAATATATGATACTTATACCTCGACTTATACTGTGCTATCTAAAACTATTCCCACTCTCTTCCGAACCAGATAAAGAAATCACAAAACCCTACCTTAGCATGTTTGGATAATTATCGTTGAATTTGGGAAAGTGGCGCTGTGGTCATTATTAATTCAAAAGGCAAAAGGGGTATATTGATTTCTTATTCAACAGCATTATCTCTCTTGCTCCGGTGTTCTGAAGAATCACGTACTCCTCGGAGTGGGAGTTACCCCAGCTTAAATTTGTCTGCTAACAACTAAACCCGATTTATTTCTTTTCTGTTTACATGTTAACCAGCGACAAAAAGCGAGTTCATGATTTTGGACCTTCACAGATGGACGGACGCATCTGTGAAGGTCCTTTGTGAGGGTGTGTATGTATGTGTATGGGAGGAGGGTCTCGAGACTGCAAACGCAGGTACAAGGTGACGTAATGGGCCTTGGCTCATCTGTGAAGGAGTGGGAGAGTTTTATACCAGACGGAACAGTTATAAAATCTTTTGAGGAGATCGGTAGACGGGTAGACAATGAAAAGTACAGATTTATATTTGCACAGAATACTAATAAAATAATAATATAAAAGATGAGTATTTGCGGATACAGCCGAAATACGCCAATTTTCAACTGGCGCTCGAGCCCGAACGGTTCATCGAGGAAAAAAACTAAATAGTGGGGTCTGTATGAAATTTTATGTACTTTCATTTTGAATAAGAAGGTTATTTTCGAAAAGTTGATAGTTTTCAAGTTGTAAGCACAAAACTCCCAAAAAATATCTTTTTCAACTTCTTTTGTATTTTTTTCAATGTTGCGTCATGAAATTTTGTTGGCAAACCTCAGATTCGGATTCAGCACCTCAAAAAACATATAGAATCAAAGAAATCAAAACTACCCCAAAACTTTCCCGCTAGATGCCCGTTTCAGCACAAATGGCCTGTATTAGTATTTAATGGTCACCATGTGTAATTTTTTGTAGATAAATACTGTACAGGGTGTCCCGTTTGGGAAACTTTTATATGACTTTTGGGTCAAATTTAAAATGGTCAAATGAAAATCTGAAAATATTCAATCGGGGGGAAATATCACTTATAATCTGCCATAAGTATACGGGGTCAGGTAAAAAAACTTCATATTTACATTATATACGATAGTTTTGAAGCAAGCATCCGAAAATAATAAACTTTCGTGGGAAACGTTTTTGTCTAAACTTATTATTTTTTTAAGACACTCTTCTAAAAGCGCTATTTTTGGATTGAGCGAGGAAGCTCTTCGGTCAAGAATTTGGCAACTGGTTTTTTAAGTTAGCTCTGAAGTTCTGCAAAACTACTTTGAATTTTTGTCTGAGTAATATGGCTACCAGGTGAGTCAATATGATTCGAGATATTATTAATCTAGTCGCGAACGGTAGAAATGGGGCCCTTTTTTAGGAGTCGATTATTATCTTAGAAACAAAAGCGAATACATTTCTGAAAACTTGTACAAGTAACAAATATATAAAAATTTTGAATAACAAAATGTATGAGTCCGATTTATCTAATTTTATGGCTAAAGTTAGTTTAATTTTTTTTCGCAAATCTATTAAAAAAAGTCTGATACAACTGAATACCGAACGATCCTCGGTATCGTTTTTGGACTGTAACTTTTTAGCCCAATAGTCTGCTTGACCAGAACACAATAGCGACCTTTCTTATATCCTTAAGAACGCGTGTATCAATATTCAAAGCGATCAAACGTTTCTAAACAATGTTATCGTGCACACGGACAGGCATCCTTGCAGACAGCAATACAAAATTACTCAAAAAATTATAAACGATCTCAAGAATGGTTAAAAAACTAGGAGTTTCAATGTTTAGTGTATATCTTAAATTATTTACGTTTTTTGGTCGTAAGGTATTGAAAAGAAACAAGTAGGTATGCAGGTAATATTATTGAAAAGACCTTGGAAAAGACATTTGGATGACCTTCTAAAGGTTGCTTCTACTCCCATTAAACTATTGATCTAATTTAAATCCATGACCAGACTATAAAGTCCCCCTTAAATATGATGTTGACACGTTTTTGTTTATGGCACACTTTTTGTTACATAAACAAGGTAAAGGTAAAGCGAGAGGTAAAGCAAGGATATTCAGTGTTAAACTGTGTTCTTACATAACTTCAATATGGAGTTCCTGTCATTACACACAGAGCTAGGAGCTGAAGACCAAATAGTCTTTTTGAGTGAGAGGAATGACAGAAAATGTATGTAATAGTAATGTAGATTAAAGTGTTTTTTTATTTTATTTTATTATCCCTCTCTTGTTTTGGGCCCTCAACAGGCATGCGCCCAATTACAGAGTGACCCGCACAATGCTATTTAGAGGTGCCTCTGCAGAAGGTCTTAAGATGGTCTATACTACTCCGGTATTTACCTTACAAATTAGGAAAACTGCAGGAAAACCTAATTCGGAGTAGCCGGTAGAATGCTCGGAACTGGTCTAAGGTAATTTCCATCTCCGCCACAGATGAAAAATTCACCTCAACCCAGGTTCGAACACCCGACCTTCGGATTTATAACCCAATGCTCTACCACTGAGCCATAAATCCGATCACCTGACAGTACAACCTTTGCAATACATAATATATTCTGACTAATCTTTCTGAACCCATAGTGAATATGTGAACCCCAGTTTAACTTGGGATCTAAATACACTGAGGAATTTCCATAGGTATTCGGAATTAATACTGTTCAAAGATTTACTCTCGGATTTACCTATTTGACAATACTACCGCCGTTTTTGATTTTTCCATTTTCATGCATTAATGGTTAGCGGCAAACCTCGCGACAAACCAAACAGAGATTTTCTTTGTTGATTTTGGATGTGTCCACCCGGTCCACTTATATCCGAGCGTATATCAGTGCATCATACTGTAATAATCTACTACTAGATTATATATCCTCAGTGTATTCAGAAAAATGAACATTTTAAAGAAGTGTCCGTTTTTTGGCAACTTGTCTGTATAAGTCGAGGTATAAGTATACAGGCTGATTCAAATTCGAGGACCACCATGGGGATCTCGGAAACTGTAAAAGATAGGTCGGTAGTTATAATTTGGCAAAACTGCGTATTTTGAGCTTAACAAAATACTGTTTTGAAACTGAAAAAATTCCGACTACTTTCGAAATTTTGCAAAATCGTTTTTATTTTTTACCGAAGTTATTTAAAAAGATATTCAAAATAAGTGACACATTATTGTCGCCACTTTTTTCCCTCTACAGTCTACAAGATGCTAGTTTTAAGTTTTAAGTCTGACGTTTCGTCTCCGGTTAACCATCATCAACTTTGTTTTTTCTTATGAAAGTCATTTTTATTTTTTGTGTCATTTGATAGACCATATTTTCCTGATGTCAAAAATGTAAATACCACTATTTTAGGGTTGCCATCTCAAAACTCTGCCAACTAGGACACGAAGCGTGAAAACCCCTGATTTAGGGATTATAAACCCGGACATATCAACTGAATTTTAGAAAAAATATTGTCTAAAGAAATAGTCTTTGAAATTCTACTTTATTTTTATCACTGACTAGACTGTTTCAAATTCAATAATAGTATAAAGGAACAAGGGATTAAAAAGAGTTTTTGTTCCTGAGAGAATGGTTTAAATTTAATATTTTTTTAAATATTTTTAAGGGAACAAAAACTAGTTTAATCCAGTGTTGCTTATACTATTTTTTCCAATACCAATCGATTTAAATCCATTTTTCCATGAATTGTTTACAAGAAAACAAAAATGAGGGATTAAAATTATTTTAATCTCTAGGGATTAAAATTACCTGTTAATGTACAAAAATTAGGGATTAAATTCAATAAAACAATGTAGGTATTGGAAAAATGCCTTTCTTTGGTCCACTGTTATGCCACTAGTGAAAGTATTCTTTCAACGTTGGCATTATGAGCAAGAATGCAAAAAAAGCACCAGACAATTTTCAATAACTCCCAAGTTTAATGAGGATTCGGTGTTTTAAAAAATTGTAACCAAAGCTGATTGGCACGTTAAAAGTTTATCTTGTTTTGACAGAAAATCATAGATATCTCAGTAGCCTAAAACCCGGATTACCAATGAAACCCCGCCCGGACGCTCCCCGGACGCCCCCTAAACTAGGACAAATCCGGGGGAACCCGGACGGATGGCAACCCTACACTATTTTTAATAAGAAATGGCGCTATTGATTTGTAAAACCGCAAGAAACTACGAACATACACTACCCAAGACAAAGTTTGCCAGGCAAAAAAGGAGATATTTTAACAATATTTAAAAAATAGTGATGTTTACATTCTTGAAATCAGAAAAAATGCACAACCAAATAACACAATTAGTAAAAATGGCTTCCATAACAAAAAACAAAGTTGATGGTTAACCGGAGACGAAACGTCAAACTTAAAATTTAACATCTTGTAGAGAAAAAGTGGCCATAATAAATGTGTCATTAAAAATATTTTTTTAAAATAACTTCAGTAAAAAATAAAAACGATTTTGCAAAATTTCGTTTTTTTCAGGATATCTCCAAAATTAGTCGGAATTTTTTCAGTTTCAAAACTGCATTTAGTTAAGCATCTAAATACACAATTTTGCCAAATTTAAACTACCTACCTACCTTAGGTATCTCTTACAGTTTCCGAGATCCCCATGACGGTCCTGGAATTCGAATCAGCCTGTATTGTATAGTGTTGTTTGCAAAACAATATACAAGCATAATTATGGTTTAAATGATACAACTTTCGTCTCATGAGAAAGGAGACTTCACCTGAATATATGAGACTCATATTAAATACAGGGTAATCTGGCAACCCTAAATTCCAGACTGTGATGACTATGTAGCAGGAAACTTCCACCCCCAATTTTAATAATCCGCAAAGGCAGTAAAAATGGAAGCAAGCAGATTTCGAAAATAATTGCTTACCTTTTAAATGAAACCCAAACACCGGTAGTCACTTGGAGAAAGAAAGACAGGGTAGTCACATAAATATGTTTAAAGTTATTTATCCTGGAAAGAACTTTGAGGTTAAGTATTTAAAAGCCAAATGGTAAACGCACAGAACAAAATATGCAACCTTACCATAGAATAAAGCCCATTTGTACGATGGTCTGTGATTTGTACAGTATAATACAAAATTAATCACCTGCGGTCTCTCGTGTCACAGATTATGAGATTACCCCACATCTGAGGAGCTTTCTTTCGGCTACTTCGCGGTGATGATTTCAATATCGTGATTCGTAGGATCACATTTTACGAAAGAACGCGTGAATTTAAATTAAAGTATGGTCAAGTTTACGGAGTTCGAATTACGTACTGCCAACGCGCACAACTCCTGCGTGGCGGAATTTTGTTTTTTTCCTAGGGGTGAAATGAACCACCTTTGCACGGTGCACTTCGAGGGGTAGTCGACTTTGGGCGCCCAACAGTTTCTTAAAGCTCGAATCGCGGTTTCTCTTTCTCGTGTCGCCAATAAAAGCTCGAGCTATGGGAAGTACCCAAAAATTGAGTACCAGTTTGTACCGGGTTTTTAGCGAAATCCACCAAAATGCGAATTGCGAGTGAACAGGACGTCGGAAATGTGTATCGACAAAGAGAATGTGGTAACGCCCGATAATATCTTACTGATGGACGATCATGGTGGAGTCAAAAATCAAACTCTAATTGTGGGTGAACGAGACGTCGGAGGTGGGTACCGACCAAGGGAATATGGTAACCCCCTACCTCGCCCCCTACCAGATCTTACTGATGGTGGAGTCAAAACTTCAAACGCGAATTGCGGGTGAAGGGGACGTCGGAGGTGGTTACCGACAAGGGGAATATGGTAATCCCTGACGAGATCTTAGTGATGGTGAAGTCAAAACTTCAAAAGAGAATTGCGAGTGAATGGCACGGAAGTGGGTACCGACAAAGGGAATATGGTAGCCTTCGACAAGATCTTATTGATAGTGGAGTCAATACTGGCTAATAAAACACTGATCTGCCACACAAAAAATGCGGTGAAGTCCCTTCGATCTCACAGGAGGACTTTGATAATTTTTTAACATAAAATGCGATAAAATGCCAACCTAATAGTTTCCACCTGATTCACGTAAACCAAACTTATCTCAAAACGCACGAAACGATCATCAATGTCACTGAATGCTCGTTTTCACGGTCAAAAAATGTTCAGTGAAATTGAAGCAGTAGTTCCATTGAGATTGATATACAAAAAGTAGAAATGTCTTTCACTTTGATTGCAACGCAAAATGGTTGAGCAATATCGTTGAACAGACGTTCATATTAGTCTACATCATTTCAATAACATAGATTCCATAGAATTATAATTCTATGATAGATTCAATGTTATTGATCAATAAAATAGACTAAGTAATAAGTATTTAATTGTTACTGTTATAAATCAATATGTTTAAGAACCAATCGTTTTATATTTATAGTTTATCGTTAATAGTGTTAGTTTCTGTGAACATTACCTAATAGCGTTGAGTGAAAAATAGTAAGGTAATTAATTGTAGGTACCTACATAAATAAACATTCAAATAAATCAAAATTAAACTCACTTTACTTATAAGTATTTTAGAAAACAACGACGTTACTATACCTATAAATAATAATATTTAAACAGCTTCAGCAAATCCAACGCGCTTTTTTCCCAAATCATATATCGTATAATACTTCCTTAAGAAAACGTCTCCCAAAATCCACGTAGGGCCACTGTTGGACAAAGCCATAAATCCAGACACGCACGATTCCCTCAAACCTTCTTTAATCTGAAAGACCAATCGCATTTAGGTATTGCTCGTTTCATTTCTTTATATGTTTTGCTTTGTTTTTAGAAAATAGAATAAGAAACCACCAAAATAAAAATAGTTAAACATGAACATATTTGAACGAAATATATATTTATAACGCAGCTTACCCTAAGGATATAATCATTTCCTTGTAGAATATAGCTTCGTCTATTTAATACAAAAGTTATTGAAGGCAATGCCGAAACTAGTTTACAGTCTACCATATATAGACCACTGCGGGAATCAAGTTTTGCCCCAATGGCTGCATTGATATCCTTAACGTCCGCTGCAGGTCCAACAATTAAACTGGTTCCTGTATCAACAATAGCTTCACATCCACTGCTACAAAATGGTCTAGAACCGAGTCGAAGAAAATCCATTTTTATTCGCCAGTGACCTTCTTTGTAAACAGGCACGTAATTTACGGAGCCTTTGTAGTGCTTTGGGTTAGAACCGCCAAATACCAATTCACCTTGTGATCCATCGTTGTAATTTCTACACAGTTTGAAGATGTACCATTAAGTAACATATCACAATGAATTAAATTAATACTTGCCTATTTAAGTAAAATGAAAACACAGGTTGTGAAATAAGTTTCTGCGAAATCATATTGTAGACAGGAGGTACTGCTCCTTTTGCTGCAATATTTTGAAATCCTAATCCCAATATTCCATCAAATTTTGCTGCAACGAAGGTATTCCCCGGTTGAACTATGGCTTCACCAAACGTCTGTCTTTTTATACTTATTTGACCAATCTAAAGTGAACAGTAGGTAGATAATTGCGCTCGCACATTACACAATATGGCACATACAATTTTCGATATTTTGCTCATGTTCACTTAAAACGGGAAAGAAAACTTTTGTGTATTCGTCTGCTTGTGCTCAAACTAATTTTTGATGAGAAATTACCAATTATTTGTTATTACATTTACTTAAATACAATGCATAAATGAACATACAAGTGCCCTGTGCTCAATTCTTAAATATACAAGTCAATGCAATATGCAATTTTGCAACCCACCTTACACATTAACTAGGTAAGATTAGTTGCATATCTTAAGGGGTATTTGTGACGAATTGAACATAGGGATTTGTATGTTAAAATTTACGCACCTATGTATAAAAGAGTACACTCGGATTTAAAAAATGCAATATTCTGTTAAATTGTGTTGTATTGTAAGTCACATAACGCAACAGCTTTAAATATAAACTCCAGAAAGCTTATATTCAAAGGCAACAAGAAAACTTACTTTTAATGTATCTTTTGATAAAAATCCACCAACGCTTCCTGTTCCATACAAGATTGCAAATAGTGTACCATTTCTTTCATACGTGCTCGACTTAGATGAATCAAATTTTTTGTGTGTCTCTGAAATAGGTATCGTTATAAAAAACATTGTACAACTTGCGTAATGTTTTGTTATTTGCGACGTTTTCGACTAAGACTAACTACATGCGAAATTAGATGACTCGCACTAGTAGGAGAGGGGCACGTACTTTCTGACCAGAAAGATCAATTTTCAAAAATGAGTAGGTATAACTTTTGTTTGAAAAGTGATTTTTAAAAACTGTTAGACAATTTTGTTCCATAACTCATGAAGTATAATATATACACAACAAACTTCGTGGAATTCTGTCCATTTTCGTTGTCCGGCCAAGAATTGTAGTGTAATTTTTTTTCAAATTTTGAAAAACCAATTTCAGATTCGTGAGTTTCATTTTGAAAAAATCCCAGGTAGGTACCAAATTTCGTCGAAATGAGAATTTTTTTCGCACCCCCAGTTAGGGGCGCGCTCTTGCATGGTAGGAATTTTGCAAAATCGGAAAGGGCATATCCCAAAACCTATTCAAAGGCGTGCCACCAGTCTTTGTAACTGTTCTAGTTGCTGAGAAAGAAGTTAAAAAAATGAAAAGTCCACAACTTTTATGGGGGTGGCTTCCAAACGGAACACGTTCGACTCTGGTCGGTTTATTTGGAAAAAGTGCTTGTTTTGATCCTCTCTACTACCCATTTTTAAGGCTCTTTTGGATAAAAATAGTGCTATATATTCAGTTTGACCATAGAGTAAATATTATTTACTCTATGGTTTGGCTGTTCGATCGGTCGGTTAGCTGCAAATTTTTTTTGAGTATAACTTTCGAAGGAATCATGGTAGAATGCTCGGGTTTGAAGTATTACCTTTGTCAGCTTTAATTGTGTCACACTTCTTTGCATGCAGATTATATTTCAGCGTTAATAAAACCTCGATCCGTCGCACAACAACGCGCTTAAGTAGCTCGACGCATCGAGTACCTACTTTTGAACTTGTTTTTACAGACTTATATCATATATGTAACAGTTAACAGCCTGGTAGGTATACACTGTCTATTGAAAACTTTGGATATACTTACTACAGGCTGCATTTGTATAATGACACTCTGCCGATGGAACCCAAAGGTTTGACGAACCTGTGTCGAAAATCACATTAAATGCCTGAGGAGGTGTGCCAATAGATATGGGTCCATAGTATTGCGCCTAAATATAAGTATATTAGGAAATTGTTTTAATAGTTATTTACATAAAAGTCAGGAAAATGACACATTACTGGCGAGGAATAGGGACGAGTACTTTAATTTCCTTACAGAACTTACATTAAGGAAATTTGTCAATCGTACAGAGGTTTCTCCATAACGAGTTCTGAGGCGTCCTGTGGCATTTGGTATCAATAATGTACTTGAAATTGGATCTCGATATAAAGGTACACTGCAACATTACAGATTGTTATTATAGTCTAAAACCATAGAATATTGTTTACTCTATGCTAAAACTAATGTTCAATTTGAATTTAATTCTTCTAACCTCAATTATTTTTAGCGTAACACAACGAAGGTAACGTTTATGTGCTCTATTTTCCGTTGTCTGTCTGTCTGTTCAGTCGAGTTCTCGGCCCCTGGACTACCTAGAGACTTTGGGTTTTCGCCAGTGCCGGTTTAGGAACATGTTCTTTCCTAGGCACAGCCCTTTCAGTGCCCACCCGGCACCTGGGGTTAAATAAAAAATTCTTTTTTTTTTAAATAGTCTGTAATACTTAAAATCAATGAAATAGACGTATTATTACACCAAACATAAATTATTTGCATTTTTAGATAATAGTTAATTATAATTCTTACAAAATGAATAGAATAAGGTATTTTTTTAATAATAAAAAAATGATCTCTGAAACATTTTTTTCCTAGCCTTTTGTGATGCGAATTTATCCAAAATTCCCTCAATGCGGTCTAGTATTAAATATATCACTACTCATGTGTAGAAGCCCGAGATTAAGCCTAACACTGCTGTGAGAATCTCTTAAAAGTTTACGTAGGTAGGTACTATGTAAGTCCCCCAGTCTACTCGGAAGTCGCATTTCATTCCCTACGTACGGTTCTACGTTGGGAATTTCCATTCCATCCAAGTCCAACAGCAATAAACGACAATGATACCTACTATGCGATCAAAAATGAGTTGTTGTCGAGTCACCTTTGGAATTTTTGTTTACATGGCTATGAAAACTTCAAATGCGTAAGCCATCTGCTCTTTAAAACAAATTTTTAAAGATCTTTTGTTTGCCCAATATATACTTACTTGACTACAATCTTTACAACTTATTTTCTATATTCCCACTTTATCTAATAAGAGTGGACAAGTTACCAAAAAATATAGAAAACGCGCTGTCTTGCCATCTATAGACTAGAGCTATACTCTAGATGGATTGAAAAATAAACTTTTCTGAACAATTATATCAATGGTAACACTATAATTAAAAAAAAAAGTTAAACCGCTTTTGAGCAAGAGGCAGAGAGTGCACTTTCAAATTTGTGTTTTGGATTTTAATCGCCCCATGGATATTTCATGGCTTAACGAGAATACAAACATGAAATAATTTTTAATTTCTGATCGAATGACGCCAATACCAAGTCTGTAAGTGGTGTAGATCCGGAGAGGAACCTTCGTAACTCAGACAGATAGACATCAAGAGCGCAAAAATGCAAACGCAATCTTATATGCAAATGCGAATAGTATACGCGTATAAGTTAAATGACGTACCTTATAAAACCACACCAAACTACAGTAAAGGAACAAAATAGAAACACTATTTGTAACATTGTGGTTCTTATAAGCTGAATTAGATTTTCTATACGCTTATATACAGGTAGCTATATCATAATTCCAAAAAACAATTGAAATTGATATCGTAAATAGCAAACAAAAAAAATTGTCTTTCAGTTTTGCAACATCACGTTGTGAACGATATGGTAAGTATACATGTACACATCACACTTGTCACTACATAACTTTATAGTATCTCTGATTATAGTATTATGGTAGGTATAGGTGACCACACCATACGTTACTTGTATCATTGAATTCAAAGTTTGTATTCTTTACGCAGAAATATGCGACCTTCCATGTTCACTGTTCAGTAGTATGGCAACTAATTCGTGCTGAATTAATGGTATGGTATGCAATGGTAAACTCGAACGGTATGGACAAATTCAAAAATCCATAGTATGTGGGTAAAGTGGATTTAGATATATGAATGATACATTACTAGGAACTATTTCAAAAATTAAATTAGTTATTGTCAACTGAGATTTTTATGTCGTTTAAAGATAGTAAATACCACGTACCAACAAAATATTTAACATAACAGGCACAGGTACGTATGACACATTTTTTTAACATTTATATAAAGTCCGTAGGTACTCTTTTGTTTTAAATGAACCAATTAATAAATATTTGGTATGAAAAAGTGACCGATAATGTGTAGATAAGAACGTACTTTTTGTAGTATCGATAAAATACAATTTCCAAGAGCCACTTCTACTCATGGTGGCTCTTTTATTATTCAATGATATACCTACCTTTTTTCAGATTAGATAAACGTGAAATTACATTTACATGACGTATAGGTAGGTACCTATACGAGTCTACAATGTCTCTAAAATAAAATTGCACCTAAGTATACCATTGAATAAAAAATAATTTTTTATTCAATGCCTATACGCCACCAACTTGTGTAGTTGTATCTCAAGTGGAGTAGTATAGAACAACTTAAGACCTTCTGCAGATGCACCTCTAAAAAGCATTATGCGGGTCACTCTGTAATTGGGCTCAAGTCTGTTGAGGGCCCAGAAAAAGAGAGGAATAATAAATAAATACTGTAACGTGATTTATTAATTCGGGTTCGATTTATATCAATATTTATTAAACAGAACTAAAACACTATAAAATCCGTACAATTTATATCGTCACAATTTATATCGATTATTTATATCACTCACACTTCGCAATTTATCTTTCCGCGCTCGATGTTTACGTACTCGTTCGGTAGTAGACTGCCGCGATGTTCGGTCCGCAACCATTTATACACGCAAGCAATGTAAGTCCCGAACATTCTCGAATACGCGTAGAAAATTCCAGAGCGCCAAAGGCGACGTCATGTCTGGAGCATTTCCGTTACAATACGTTTCGAAGAAATCATCAACTTTATTTTTTTATATGGCTCGTAATAAAATTATACACTGTATTGAATAGAAGATACGACGATGGTCAAATTAGAGAAAAGATGCGCACAAATTTCCTGGAAAATGAAAATATATGTCCGATAGGTAGGGTGACCACCTTCGTCTCGAGCTGAACCCGTAGATTCAAAGTGAGCTCTGTCAAGTGAAGGCCAAATCAGTAAGCAAAATAATATGGTTATTACAAAACAAAAATCCATTTATTTTCTAACTATAAAAATATAAAATGAAAGAAAAAAACCAAAAATCTATTTATTTCTTTGCAATAACCTACTTTTTAAACTTAAACGAATACTTCTTATTGCTTTTGCAGCATGTAAGTAATTCATTTTGTTCGTCTCTTTTAATGTATTCAGTAAATTCCTGACATGACATGTTGAAATTCAATTTCGTACAAAGTTCAGCTTTAACCAAATCTACACGCATTCGATTCCGTTCATCTGTCCATAGGTTCGACATCAGAGAAAAAACTCGCTCTACATAGGCATTGCTAACTGGCACAGACAAAATTCTCGAGACGATTTTGTACAGCTGTACGAAGTTTGAATTTTGGAAAATTTTGACCCACAAGCTACCTACGGAAAAATCTGCGAAGTTGATTTCAAGTTTGAGTTTGTCTAGCGTTGACTTCAAAATATCAATTTCATCAAAAAGGGCATCCTGATTAACGTCAATACGACATGCTGTAACAGTTTCCATTATTTGGTTGAACGAAATGGAACCATTTGTTCTAATGTCGATGCTTGAAAAATGCTTGAAAGGTGAATTTTCAAAATCATAAAACTTGCTTAGGTAATCTAGAGTTCTCTGATAAACCTCGGTAGCTTCTTTTTCAAACTTGCGTTTTTGTTGAGGACTGAGTTTGTTTAAGGCGAACTTAACCTTGCTTCCAAAAAAATGTTCGTTCATTCTAGAAGTGATTTTAGTCCTCAATTCGTTCATTACTGCGTGTACTTCAGAGCTCGTTAACGAATTGCTTTCCAGTTTTAAAATCGTATTCAAAACGCTCATATAATGATGCACAAAATAGATATACCTAACACTCAGCAAAACTTAAATTAGCGTTGATATCTTCTTCCATTTCGTTTTGTTGAGTTTTAATGAACTCCCATACATTTTTGTTGCATTGGTCTTCTCCTAATTCCAAAAAATACTTCTTAACGGCAGGCCAAGACTTAATCTGTCGTTCAAGGGCTTTAAACAAAGATAGCCATCTTGTCACGACGTGTCTTAAAACTTTTTGATATTCTAAGTCTAAAAACTCAAAGCATTCCTTAAGATCAGCATTCTTTTTTGCGGAAATAGAAAATTCAGCATAGGTACACTTTAAGTACTAAATTTTCAACGTCATATGAGAGAGCCTTAGTAGCATTTCTACCCGCATTGTGTATCACATGACAGTTACAGTTTTGAGTTTGCCTTCAAAATATTGGGATTCATAGAACGCAACTTCTGGTAAACTTAATTGTGGACGCCATAGTTAACGGATGCATTATCTGCACTGTACGAACTCAAGTTTTCAATGTTTAGACGGCACTTTGTCAAAGTATTATTGATATCTCCAGTGATAGCCGCGGAACTTTCATCGTTGTCTTCATAAAAATCTATCAACTTATCTTGAATTCCATTTTTCTTACTAAAATAGCGGACACGGGACAGCAATAGGAAAAAGCTTCTGATTGCCCTTGTTTGAGGCGTCGCAACTAATAGAATGTGAAATAGGTTGATCCGTTCCCGCTCCTAGTTCTACAAGGCAGTCTTCAATGGATTTTGACCCTAACACATTTTCCACAATTGATTCACTTTTAGTACGGCCACAATGAATCATTTTGGCCAAACTAGAATCCTTGTAGATGAATGAATTTAGTTTATGCTGCAGTCAATGCTTGCGATAGCTATTGGTGATGAATTCAGTCCGTGTATAGTTTGGCAACCTCGCAAATGTGTGACCGCATGGTCTTCTTCAGAAACTTTTTGCAAAAATGCCGTTAGATAGTTGATTGGAAGTTTGATGTTTGCGTCCAACTTTGCGTTTTTTGCTGTTAAGATCGTTTTAGAGCTTTCTCGCCGTCGTGTTTTACTGTGAATTTTACATTGCAGGTACGGCATTTTGCAGCTAAATTCATCGACTTTTGCCGACCCATTTATTGTAAACGTCATTATCGCAACCACCTATTATTGAATGTGCTTTTTTAGAAGTTTGAGGGTTTGGCTCTGTGTCTTCTTCTTCCATGCTTTAAGTTTAGGGATTTCTTAGGTGCTGATTTACTTGACCTCCATCAGCACACAAAATTTTAGCAACATTTCTACAATGTATACAATAAGTTAAAATTATATGTGTACGTACGTATCATTTGTTTATTTATAATTTATGTATACATATTTGAATCACATTGGCATCACATAAATGTATATGTGTTACACCGTGTTATTTAAATATAAACGTTTATAAACAGTAGTTACAAGTTACTGTTTTAATGTTAATATGCTCTTTTAATACAAATGTTGCTACAAAGGGTGTAAATAGTAATTACGTTGACGAAAAATTAGCGGTAATCGACTCTTACATAAGCACATTTCTACAAAAGTTCTACTGAGTTCTTGTGTTAACATTTAGGTTATCTCTTAATACAAGCGTTGTGACAACGAACGCACATAATCATTATGTGGGAACAAAGCTAATGTAATTGTTCATGTTAATGGTAAACGTTTCTACAAACTATTCCATGGATTCATTAAATTGATATTACTGTGGTCACTCAATACACATGTATGCACAAACGGATTTTATTTATACATTTTTAATGTGCATGTAGTCATCATATATATACTCTTCCACACAGCACGCACAAAATCATCGAGTTAATGTTAATGTGCTTATTTTGATATACTTTTTTTACAATGTGCGAATAGAATCGCTACTTGAACGATTGTTTAACATAAATGTGAAATTTATTAACAAATATATTCACAGAATAATTTTTTTACGTTACACCACTGCTTTGGGTGCATTCCGTAGTGATATAAGAATCACGTATCACGTTATTGAATGCTACTTTTATTTTTAGCGGGTTGCTCTTGCGTGTTACACGTATAACCTTATTAACAACGTGACTTGTCTACGTCTGTACAAAGCAAAGCAATTGAGTTGTGCAATATTATATATGTAAGTACAATTTTTCTTATTACTTAAAGTAAATCAACACAAAAAAATCTTGTAAACGATATTTCGTAACATTTTGTGATACTTTGTATAAATCATTACGAAACAGTGGAACACAACCTTCTATAAAAATATTTTTAATTTTGATCGTATTTTTATATTTATATCGTATTATTCTTTTAGATGCAATGAAGCCAAAAGCTCAATTGGCGAATTTACAATTAGATCGCGGTCTTACAGACTCGGCAGTAGGAGAATGGCTGCGGTTGACAAAGAATCGGCTTGCAGAATCGAAGGAATTGAAACGTCTTAAAATGGCAGAGAAAAGAGCCGCCAGCAAACTACAACAGTAATGTTTGTTACACATATCTATGTAAATATATTATATGAATATAATATATCTATATCATGCATTTATTTTGTGTACATTCTGGGCACTAGAAATGAAATGGAGTAAATTTTACTCTTGTGTATACATAAGAATTATTCTCGTTTGGGTATATATCACATGAAGTGTGCGCGCACATTTAGTATACGTTCCACATATATTACTTGGTTCCATAATCTTACTGTATCACATTAATGTTGTGACCACATCATTACATTGTTTGCATATGTACCTTGTGCATACAGGGTGATTCCTATAGTACCTGCCACCGTTTGGGAGCGTGTAGGTGGTGCGTAGGGGAGTATTTTGATATAGGACACTTGGGGTCGGAAATCTAAAATAAGGGTGCCAGAGCCAAATTTACCTTCTGGAATTTCGCGCCTGTAGGTAGGCAACCCAACCGGCCGGCGGTGCACACGGAGCGATCTCAGGCGGCGATGTGTGGCTGACACTTGATCAGAATTTTGTTTAAACCCACGAAATCCCGTCTGCAACGACGCGTATCAAGTGAATAAACACTATGGCAATAGTATAATAATAGTTGGCTAGATGTAGGAAGTGCATTGAGAACAACGGTGGCCACGTTGAACACTTGTAAACGTTATTGCTTTTGACTGTCGTTTTCCCTCCTTCCCTCCCATGTCGCTTCCTCGCGCTAACTCGCTCTGCATCGCTCCGCGCGAAACGTCGGTCGGTTGGGTTGCCTACATACAGGCGTGAAATTCCAGAAGATAAATTTGGTTCTGGCGCCCTTATTTTAGATTTCCGACCCCAAGTGTCCTATATCAAAATACTCCCCTAGGCACCCCCTATACGCTCCCAAACGGTGGCAGGTACTATAGGAATCACCCTGTATGTAAACACTGATGTTGTGTATACATAGTGAGGCGGACGTTTAACCTTTGTGGAACCGATACTGATGATGCTGTAGACACGTTATCACATGCCACCTCATGTTATTGTGTTACATTGTGTATATATAGTGAAACATTATTTTAACAGATACACATGAGAATTGTGATGAATGTGCTGTATGGGCTGATTGTAAGTTACGTACAATGAACTAATTATAGACAGTTCTGCCAGTCTAACAACCTGCTGCATTGCTATCGCCACAACTACCCGCTTGCGACTCACTGCGACTGCGAATTTTTAATTTTATTTTGTTCAGTAATATGGCGACCGTTTCCGCCTACGCTCGTGCTATTCCGGTTAGTCATACTTGTACTACTGTAGTATCATCACAGCTTACTTACTAGTAAGCTGTGGTATCATGCTTGGAGCACTAATTAGGTACTAACTACCCAGTTAATCACAAATCAATGTGATTTGTGCAGTTAATAAACGCTGTCGCTTGCGTTGCGTCCCGCAACCGCAACCATGTTTTCTATTCTGTAATCGGAATCGCGGGCACTATTATAATTTTAATTAAAAAAAAACGTTTGAAAAGCTATAACCCGGAGAACATGATACTAAACCCGGAGCCCGGAGATCAGGCGTAAGAACCCGGAAACTCCGGGTCAAACCCGGAGGGGTGGACCATTACCACCTAGTTATTTAGGTGGTAATGGGTGGTCACGCTACCGATAGGTATTCTCACACGATTAGGGCGTTGTGCTCGGATGCACCATTCTTTTGAAACCAACAGTTTCCAACTTTGGTTTTTTTATGTGCCGTACATCGTTGCGTATTATATGTATGATTGTATTATTTGACACTTTTTATTACGAATACATATACCCACGGCACACAAAAAAAAACAAAAGTCAGAAACTGTTGGTTTCAACTAGCGCTAGGCGATAAATGAAATTGTTATTGATTTATCGATATATCTGTTTAGTCCGATAATTATTGTTAATCGATATTTTCAATAATCTCGATAACTTTTGATAATAACCAATAATGATCGTTCGCTGTCGATCATAATCGATAATTATTGAGAGAAAACTATGGGTACCTGTTCGTAAATCTTATCAATATATAAATATATTTTCAATCAGTATAACTATATCATCCATACATATCCTTGTTAACATTTTTACTTATTTGATATTGATATTGCGAGAGATAATTAAATAAAAATTTTTTTTTGAATATTAAAACAACTATTGGTATTCACTAGTTTTCTGAAATCGAAGGTGATCAAGTAGACGATAAACATGATAATTGAGCATAACAGTATTTAACTCTAATTCAGGTGAACTATAGTCTGAAGTAGGTTGTGATTTGTGATCATACTTTACAAGTGTCATGCCAACTCCACAATATGCTCTTACTTGATCGCTGATGCGATGATTCGATGTAGGATTAATGGGTAGATTATCGATTTATTGATCAATCCTTTAAAAGCACAATTAATCAATAAATATATTTTTCAATAAATTATCGATTTGTCGACCATTTATTAAAATTTATCGTTTATTAATCGATGTTTGTCGAAAAGTTATCAATTAATCGATAATTATCAATGTGATCGATTAATAGTTTTTTGCAAAGCACTACTTTTAAATGACTTAATCGATAAATCGATATTTTTAATTTATCGGCCGTCCATTAATCGTTTTTTTTTTTTGCACAGCACTAGTTTCAACAGGATGGTGCACCCATGCACAACGCCCTAATCGTGCAATAATATATATATTTACTATTTTCCAGGAAATTTGTGCGCATCTTCCCCATCGTATAATCTTCTATGGTTTCGGAGATCCCCATCCTTATCTTGGACAGTGAATAAAGGTCTCAATATGTCGTATAAATAAAGCATTTATCAAAAAACACAACATTTATTTAACTTCCAAATTGCCAACTCACAACGATAACTACAAAATGTAAGAAAATACTACAAACAAACTTTGCAGTTTGAAATAGGGATGAGGTTAACATACTACTAGAACAGACTATCACAATGCAACTTTATCTGATACTCCAAATTCCATAAATACACAGAAGTAAATTGTTTGCAGTCCCTCCAATGGCGAATGCGTTGGAATTTCGTAAAAATATCAGACCAAAAAAAGAGTGCAGTTCTCACTTATAGATAATAACTAAACTAAACAATATCAAGAAAAATATTTGGTTTAAGCAGCTTCAGCAAAACCGACACGGTTATTTTCCAAGTCAAATTCAGTGTAATATCTGCCAATGAAAACATCCCCTAGAATCCATAGGGGGCCATTTGGAGGTGGTATGTCAATGCCCATGAAACCGGAAAGACAAATTGTTTTTCCCATTTGTGACACCTACAAAACATTTTATCTTAAATTGAGTTTAAAATTTTAAGCCTACTGAATTACCCTGAAGGGGATCATTTTATTTTGATGTGTGACACAATAGTTAAAATACAAACCTGCAAAGTGTAGTCCTTTCCAGTCAGTGCATAAGATGTTCCATTTAAAACGAACTTTATCACAGGTAATTTCGGAATTAGATTACAGTCTACTATAGATTCCCCACCAACAAATGGTGTCGCACCAATAGCCTTATTAATAGCTTTAACTTCATCAACAGGGCCAGCTATTAAACTGGTACCAGTATCGGCAATCGCTTCACAGCCCTTTTTACAGAATAATTGGGACCCAACTTTAATAGAATCCATTCTAAATTGCCAATAGGCTTGTCTATCCACAGAAAGATAATTAAATTGCCCTTTATAGTGTTGCGGATCAGAACCTCCGAATATGATTTCACCGCCTATATCAGCATTGGGATCTCTATAACCATTAAGGCTAATAATAAACAACATAAAAGTCGTCCATTTACCTATTCAAGTAAAATGAGAATACTGCTTGCGAAATGAGCCCCTGCTGTACCATGTTATAAAATGGTGGTGTGACGCCATCTACTGATATTCTGCTGTAACCTAATCCTAAAATCCCGTCAAATTTCGCTGCCACAAATGTTAGACCCGGTTCGCTTATTGCTTCAGCAAAAGTTTGTTTCTTTACATTCACGTCACCAATCTGGAATTAAAAAATAAATGTAATGAAATGAAAAACTGAAATTGAAAGACTTACTCCCAAAGTGTCAGTTGATAAATAACCGCTAAGGCTTCCCGATCCGTATTGAATCTTGAATTCTGTTCCATTTTTCTTGTAGGTGCTAGATTTGGTAGCGTCATATTTATTATGTAACACTAAAACAAAAATATTACTTTTTTGTGTATGCGTGAGCAAGGATGCTGTAATGTTACAAATGTCACTACAAACTTTTCTCATTAATATCGACTGAAATTCATAGAGTTAGGCATTTCTCAAAATTCTCTCTTTTCAGCAATGTTTTGCGTTAAATGTACATAAGTAATTATTTAATTTTATTGAGTCATTTTTAGATAATTGCAAATTATCCACAGAAATGTACATGACACACCATATTTTTAAAGTATGTAAGTCAATAAAAGTTTATCAATAAGTACATATTACAACATATGACAACTAACAACTAAAAAAGTAAGATAAGAAAAGTCTAATAAGTATGGATGAAAAAATACAAAATATAGATAATTAAACAGATTAACCTTACATTTGTTTTTATTGGGCAATGTATTTCTGTTTTCACAAAATGATAAGGTTAATAATTTTTTATCAAAAAGTACAATGGTTTTCCTAAAATCTGAGAAGACAGTATCGGCAAGAGACCAGTTATGTAAAAGCTGCTGTAAAACCATTTTTTTTAAAACATGCATGCACTATTTGCAAAAAAGTTGGGAGAGACTTTTACCTTTTACCGTTTTTACTAAAATTTCTTAGATACGTCCTCTATGTAACTAAGAAGAAAACTGCAACAGTTTTTGGAAAAAGTTAAGTGCATTTTGTAGGCAGATATAGATCTTAAGTGTAACTGAAAATGTGCTCGTTTCGACGCGTTTGCGCAAGTGGAATGCCGAAATACAGCACTTTTTTATAAATCTTAGCAGTAAGTAACATGTCTTTTTGAACGAATTTAAAATCCCTTCGATTTTAAAATTAATTAATATACTTTCATACATTAAAATAAAAATTGTTGTAATTAAACATATCGAATAAATAAAGCTGATTTTCTTCTCATAAAATAAGTGTTTTCATAAATGTGGACATAAAAAGAATTCTATTATAAAGGGGTACCAAAAAATACAAAAATATTATAGGGTGTTCCATTAAAAAAAACCATGTCGACATAAACACAATTTATATGGAACACCTTCTATGCCTAAATAATAAATATATTTTTAGGTTGCAACGCTTTTTGTACTGCAACACTTTTGTTTAGTATCTACATTTTTCTCGACAACATTTTCGTAGGGAAGATTTAATTGCTATACCTAAACGTTGAAAAAAGTTGTTCCTTTTTGGAAGTTTATATGTCCAAATAACAATATGTATTTGGAATTAAGTGGAAGAACCGAGGGAAGAACATGGCGAAATTCAATTTTTCAGCTTATTCCTTTACACAGAATTGGAAACGAGGAGAGAATAGTATATTAAAGCATAAGTTGCAGAAGGCGCTATATTCTAGCACGAGTTCAAGTACGCGGCTCAGGTTCGAATGAACGAGTGCTAGAAAGGCCTTCTGCAACATATGCTTTATACTATTTTCTCTGTTGAGCATTTTAATTGTATTAAAAAAATTAACAATTCTGACATTTCTGTAATAAATATTTCAATAAAGAAATTAAGTTGGCAACACCAACAATTTTTCAATAAAGAAATTAAGTTGGCTACGCTAGATTTTGAAAAAATTCAATTTAACAAGCGCGTCAAATACGAATTTGTGCAGTATATTTTAGTTTTTTCAATAAAAAGTGAATAATGTGCGAAGAAATTCTTCCTTCCACTCCTCCAGAGCTTCGACAGTTAGCAGAAGAGACTGTTCATAATTTGCTACCAGGCAATAATTCCACAATGATTCTAAAAGTTTATAATAATTGTACATTAAGGGCCAATTCTACAATGCAGGGATATACTGAGAATAAGCTATACCTCGAATAAACGTCGACGGTTGCGTTGGTTACCATTGCGTCAACCAATGGGATACTTGTTACTATGGCAATTATTCCAAGAATATCTTATTCTGCTAGGTGTAATTGTAAAACCGGACCTTAGTGACAAAGATTAGGTTTGTAATTTTGTTAGGTTATAAAACCTCATTTGTATTAAATGTGGATTTCTCTAAGTACCTACACTGAATTTTCAATACCTAATGATTTCAATTACCCGTATCGTTAATAACTGTAACATAATGTTATAACAATAAGTGAAATTAGTCCACATTTTACTAAACCGTTAGAGATAAGTATTAACGTCTAAATCATCCAGGCAGAACTTTGAATTGAACATTCCCGTATATGATCAGCCTGGATGATTTACACGAGCATGCCAACCACTGAATACCAAATGTTCTTAAAAATCTGTCAGTTGTGGAAAATAGTTACCAAAAATAGTGTTGGAATGAAACTCATTCCAGCACTATTTTTGATATCGGAATACTGTCATTATAAACGCAAAACAGAGAAACAATGTGGCAGCACTGAATACTTATTGGATCCCTACACTTTCACAAAAAGTGGCTGACTGCATATATGTTCAATGAAGTTGATCAGGAACAATGTCACAACTATGATTTGTTGAATTTGCCTGTGTCGGCATAATTATGTGTTAATGGCTAGACAAAAAAAAACTATAGCTGCAAAATCCCTATTTTCCACAAAAAAATGCACTAAAAATAACAGAAAAAAAGATTCCTGAAAACATTGCTTAACAGTTTCACATAATCATTAACAAAAAAAATAACTGATTGCAAATTTAAAAGGAAAAGGTAACGAAAAACCAACAAACGTGCAATGAATCTAAACAGAACAATATACCTCAAATACTTACGGCAAGCTATATTTGTAAAATGGCATTTTTTGGAGGGTACCCACAGATTAGAGGAACCTGTGTCGAAAACAACCTTAAACGATTGTGGTGGTGTACCAAGCGTAATAGGACCAAAATATTGTGCCTGAAAATATCATATCATGCAAAATGTTCAGAAAATTCGATTAAAATTACATCTAAATAGTTTGACAGAGGCTCGGGTACAGGACTTCCTCCATAACGAACCCTCAGTTGTTTGACTTCTGTTCCAACTTCTTTCAATGTTTTACGCGCAGAAGGTATTTTATGCAAAGGAACCCTTAAAACAAACAGGTAGGTAATTTGGTTATAATATAATTAAATTAAAAACACTACCTGATAATATCGCATTGCACCGCAACTAACGCATACAGCAATAAAATTATTCGAAGCATTCTGTATGGTAATGTTAAACTGTACTGTTGTTGTTTTTCAATATATACTTAACAAAACTTATGTACGTATTTCTTATCTAAATATAACTCACGATCACACAATATTTGTTTGTTCGGGATCACACATGAGCGATAAATATACCGGAATGTAGCGTATTAACAAACCGCATAGTCATGTCAAAGGTCATGTAGGTCACGATTTGACAAGATAAACAGCATTGGTGAATCACTACTTAGTTATTGATAAACTTTGTAGAGGACGCTGGGGACACATTACTTAAAATAGAAGTTTTTTTGCATTTTGTTTCTGCCGTTAGAATTCTAGACATGTCTATGGAACGCCGTTTTACTTTTTATTACGAAAGTTTACAATGTCACATTATAAACAACAGTTAATTTTATTTCCCGATTTATTATGTTTGTTGTTTTTATGTGAAACATTAAATATGTTTGTTTAAAAAACTTCACTTGATTGAAATGATGTATGAATTATATAGCAATGTGTATAACGAAAGTTTAACAATACAAATCAACAAACGAATACATAAACGAACAGTAATATAACAAATATAATATAACATTTTAATTCAACAATCATATTAATTCAATTATTGAAGTGTTGTACAAATATTCCCAACAATCATTTTAATTCAACAATCATATTAATTCGTGCTGTTAAAATCGGAAAGCATTATTTAAAATGATTGTTGAATTAAAATATTACATGAATTAAAATGTTTGTTGATAATTTTAATTCGTATCTGTGATTGTGCGGAAGTTTCAGGAACTATCCTTTAGTGTATTTGGGTACGTGTATACTAGCGACTAATTAAAATTATCAACAAACATTTTAATTCATGTAACATTTTAATTCAACAATCATATTAATTCAACAATCATTTTAAAAGATTCTTTTACTGCGTCTAACAATAAAAATTTATTTGTTTCTTGAATTAAAGTGATTGTTGAAAATATTCGGCTTCAATTTTCAAATCGTCCAATTTATATGACTGATGAATTAAAATGTTTGTTTGATAATTTTAATTCCACATTTAAAATGAATGAATTTTTATGTTTGTTGGACAAAATCGTTTGATTAATCGAAGTATTTCTTGCAATTCAATTTAATTGTTTGTTATTAATTGTTTGTTGAGATACAGTTTCATATACACTCATTCAATATAACAATATAATTCATTTCACATTTTTATTAAGTAACATTTTTTAAACAATCATATTTAATACGTAAGACAATAACAACAAACGTAAAAAGTAGAAGCATACGATTGACTGTTATTTAAAATGGCACATTGTAAAATTTTGGAATAAAATTGTACAAATATTTTCAGAGAACATTTTAATTCAACAATCATATGAATTCATGCTGTTAAAATCGGCAAGAATTATTTAAAGTGATTGTTGAATTAAAATGATTGTTGATAATTTTAATTCATATCTCTGATTGTGCGGAAGTTTCAGGAACTACAGTTTAGTCTATTTGACTACGTGTAAACTAGCGCCTAATTAAAATTATCAACAAACATTTTAATTCATGTATCATCTTTATTAATCAACATTTTTTTAATCAATCTCTTAATACGTAAGATAAAAACAACAAACGAAAAATTTAGAGACATAAGATTGACTGTTATTTAAAATGATACATGATAAAATGTTGGTATAAATACTAAAACGGCGTTCCATACATGTCTGAGAATTGAGATTTCTTAATAAATATATACTTAATTACTTACTATTATAATAGTATTTTACATTATTAGCCAGGTAAGTGAGTTTTTACTGGCATTACATTATTAGCCAGGTAAGTGAGTTTTTACTGGCGATAGGAGAAGTTGACTGGCGAGCCGTTAGGCGAGCCTGTCATCTCCTAGAGCCAGTAAAAACTATTACCTGGCGTATAATGTACAATATTTTATTTGTTACTCATTTGTAAACAATAGTAAACGTAAATAATTAGTTCTTAAATTAATCATGAAGAAATGTCTAAAATATCATGTTATCCATGTAACAGAGACTTCGTATTAATTCTGGCCAATGAAATTACTAGATTACTAACTTGTAAAATTTTTACAGGTCTGTTGTCGGTTAAATTACATACTGACTTGTAAAACTGCAGTTTTACAAGTCAGTATGTAATTTAACCGATTTAGAATATATTTATATCGATAAGATTTATGAGTTTTCTCTTGATAATTACCGTTACTTATCTATTAATCGATAATTATCAGAGATAAATGAATAATGATCGATTATTATATTGACAGATAACCATCATTTTTGATTTTTTCAAAAATTATCGATAATTATCGTTACGATTTATCGAAAGTTATCGATTAACGATTAATCAAGAATTATCGGACTAAACAGACTTATTTATCACCCAGCACTAATCTGTACCTACTATCATCTGTAGTGAAAAAGAGGACCTTACGACCTTCTAGAATGTTCGTAACTATGCACCTTTACGTGTAAGACTATTCCTTTTCTAAGACTTTAATAATCCATATAACCCTGAACGCGCAGTTTTCTTTTCTATGTTGAATGTTCATTATTTAATGTTAATATTACCAAAGAGTACGCTTACTCTCTTTGATATTACATATGACCAGGATGTGAGGACGCGCTGGTGCGAAGCCACCGTATGCCTGCTTTAAACGTTAGAAAAATGTTAGTAACAAATTATGGCCAAAACGTAGGGCTCTTACGCGCGATCGCAAATGTTTGATTATAAAATGGACTATTCAAAGCTCATTATGTAAAGTCCTGCTTTTTAGAGCGGCGTAGTTCCTAAAGAGAGGTGTACACCTCAATCTAGGTTCATTCAACCCGGCTAGGTGATCGAAGAAACAAAAGCACTTATTGGCAGCCATCTTTTGACCAAAAACGTAACTGGTACTCAGAAAATATAAAAACACGCCGAATTAATAATTCGCAGACATCTGTTAATGATCCTATTTAACATAATAATGAATGTACTTTGATTCCTATGCCCAGTAATACCGTTGGGTGAAAAATACCTTCATTGCTGAAACATGTGGGTTCATCGAGTATGTCTAACATACATTTTTTCATTATTTCTAGTCGAAGCAAAGTGAATCATAGACCTGATGAAACAAAAGATCATAGAAATACAATCTAAAAATTATGGTAGGATAGGTACTTACTAAGATACCAAAATGATAGAAACTAACTCTTTATTGCCAATACCATGAATTAAATGTTACAATTTGTACCATAGTCATAAATTCTATAAAAGATATAGTACACAAAATACTGTTTAGTTTGTTAATTGGCAATGTACAACGCAGACTATTTTAACAGTTAGTATAAAAACAAAGCAGTATAAAATATGCTGAGAGTGATATGAACACATATTTGGAAACGAGTGTTAATGAGGTAATGGCAGACGAGCTGGCTTCAGAAATTCACACAATATACATTTAAGACATTACTTGTTTAAACTTTCTATAGCGCCGAGCCTAGCAACGCCTCATATCTTACATAATTCACAACATAAATGTCTCTCACCATCTAGTTAGACATAATGATTATTAAAGTGTAAAACTTAAGTACGAATGCACCTGTTAAATTGGCACACATTCTTAACAATTATAATTTTCGTGTCAGTAAAGCTATTAAAGTATTGTACAACACATAGCTCCTGTTTGCAGGAATGTTAGTAGTGTGCCCCGACTAAAATTAAATGCAATATTTCTTTATAACATAACACTTATGTTATTAATCTAATTAAAAACGATATGAATGGCAGAGCTTCAAGCACTGACATATTGCCTAACATTATACAAAAAGTATGAACAAAGAGACGATTAAGCTGCTACTTCTGCTTCTCCATTGGACTCTGCATCTGCTACGGCGTCATCCAGTTTCGCTTTCTTTTCGGGCGAAACTCCCTCGGCGGGCGTCCCTTCTGGTGCATCGCCACCTCCTCCTACGGATTTTCTTTTGATCGGGCAGACGGAATCTGTATTTAAAAAACAATCGACCATAAGCACTAGAATTCTTTCTTCACTTGTATGCGACATTTCTAATGTGTGAACAACAAAATTTTGATTCAGAGTTGGTCATGTGTAATTCTGATTGTCTCAGTGACAAGGTAGGTGACAAGAGTAGTTTTACTGCACAAGAAGTAGATTAAATACTTACCTACTTAAAATTAATGACTTGACCTAAGATTTCCATGGCCTTCTCTGAATCAAAATTTTGTTACACCATATCATTACCATTAATGCAATAGATTTACAATGCTAGAAGAGCATTCAAATTTACAATTTCTTGCTCCTAAGTACAATCAGATGTCAAAACTGCACTGTGATTTCGTTAGAAACAAATTTACATTTTTTGATGCCCAGGCTGTGAAATGATTCATTTGGGTTCAGAGTACCTATGTAGTAACCATTTACCTTGATGACCAAGAGATGAATACCTTCAGTTTTTTGAGACCAAGTAAATGTGCGCATTTGGAAAATGAACTCTATTGTCCGCACTTTGTCTGTCTGTTCCACTACTAGTCCTCCCGTTTAAGCTTTTTCGTTGTGGTTTCTTTCTCATCCAGTGTAGCACAACACAGAGACCAGAACGACATAAGATTTTTTGGATTATTCACTTCCTTCCCGAGTTATTACTGATTCTATCTGGCGACAATGCGCTTTCGCCGGTTTTAACTTGTTATCAATAGGCCTCAAAATTATTTAATTGCTATTTCGTTCGAAAAACGTGGTAAAGCTTGAGTTAATGTCCCAAGATGTGAATAATGGCTTAAGATGTGTTAAAACCGAAATTTTCAATTTAGTTTGTTGAGAAAACGCCTTGTGAACTGGAAATACAATTTACTTACAAATGTTTGGTATCATCTTCTATGTACAAATGTAACCAACCCAAATTAAATACCCACTTTTATATAGAGAACATTGGCAATTATTATTTGGACTGGAAACGTCATTTTTGATATAATAGTTATTTATGGTATAAGTGTGTTATATTACAAATAAGTCACGCGAGAAAAAATTTTCTCAAGTGACTTATTTGTAATTAACACACGTGCACCATACAATACTTTATCCAACACCTCCTCAAGCTGGTTTAAAACGTGGAAATCTTAAAAACTGCGTGTTCCGCGAAAAGCTAGAGTGCATGGAATACAAAAGCAATAATTCGTTGCTATGGGGAATAATAAACAACAAAAAATTTCCCTGTTCTTTACTTCCTGTACTTTATCTTGCTAGTGAGTTATTTTACGTCCATAACTCATTAGTGGGTTATATTATACCTTCCTCATTTAATTTCGTCATGATAATGACTGGATAACATAGAGGTGTTGGATAAAAATTATCATTCATTAAAATGTCAAAAACGGCTAAATTTAGGCCCAAGGACACAAGCACAACCATCTATATTTACAAGCCGTGCTGAGTATTATGGCAACACTGCAGGTAGGGCCGATTTCCGAATTGAAATTGCGATGATTTGCGTTACTCCGTATTGAATCAATAGAAATTATTATTCAGGTAAGTTGCTAAACGAAATTTATCGATTTGTTGTCATAACCTCTAAAGCAGACTACTCATTACTGGACACTTACAAGCAGTTGTATTTGTTGAAAGTACATGTACAACCTCAAATATGACCTATACACTACGTGGTCGCCCGGTTTCACCGAAAAAACCCCAAGTACAAGTCCCTATGGAAATTGATAGCGAAACTGAAGCGACAGCAGCATTTGTAGTGCCGAGCAGTGGCAACCTTCCAATGAAAAACAAAAAAATGTAGAAAGTGAAGGTGCTGGGTATCACCTCATTAAGCCGAAGCAGAGAACGGTAAGTGTTTATCGCGAAATAATACAATTATTATTTTATTAGTTTGTATTTCAGGTATTCTACCACGGACATGTTGTCAATTTTCTGAAGGAACCTTCTGACTTATTCCGAGGAGTTCACGGTATGAGAATTAGAAGTCTATGGGGATCCCCTCTTTAAAAGGTTCGTACCTAGAGCCATTGGAGTAGTGACCTGCTTACAGTCTCCCATTCAGAATCGCACCTAGAAGTCGTTGATAAAACCTCGCTGATGCACACCTTCACCTCGACCTATTTCGACAGAAGTTCACCAATTTCGGATCTCGATGGAAAACACATTATGATGCAGTTACCAATTTATAGCGTTCCCTCGAGCGTTCCGAATGTTAAAGTCAAATAAAAATGTTATTTTCCATTTTTGTTAACGAATAAAATATATGCACAATTGTAAGCTGCCTAAGTATCTTTCTTCGCTGTTAAAACCACCAAAGCGAAACAAAGAAGAGGGTCATTTTTCAAGAGTAACAAAACGCCAATAAAACTTTAATCGCCCCTCCAATTGACTTTCGGACAACGTTGTCAAACTTCCCAGCATGGCTTGTAATTATAGACGGCCGAGATTTAGGTATAGAGAAAATTGGCAATTATTATTTGGACTTCAAACGTCATTTTTGATATAAGAATGATTATTATTAATTAAAATGTCAAAAATGGCTAAATTTATTATTATACAGGGTGATTCCTATAGTACCTGCCACCGTTTGGGAGCGTATAGGGGGTGCCTAGGGGAGTATTTTGATATAGGACACTTGGGGTCGGAAATCTAAAATAAGGGCGCCAGAACCAAATTATCTTCTGGAATTTCACGCCTGTATGTAGGCAACCCAACCGACCGACGTTTCGCGCGGAGCGATGCAGAGCGAGTTAGCGCGAGGAAGCGACATGGGAGGGAAGGGGGGAAAACGACAGTCAAAAGCAATAACGTTTACAAGTGTTCAACGTGGCCACCGTTGTTCTCAATGCACTTCCTACATCTAGCCAACTATTATTATACTATTGCCATAGTGTTTATTCACTTGATACGCGTCGTTGCAGACGGGATTTTGTGGGTTTAAACAAAATTCTGATCAAGTGTCAGCCACACATCGCCGCCTGAGATCGCTCCGTGTGCACCGCCGGCCGGTTGGGTTGCCTACCTACAGGCGCGAAATTCCAGAAGGTAAATTTGGCGCTGGCACCCTTATTTTAGATTTCCGACCCCAAGTGTCCTATATCAAAATACTCCCCTACGCACCACCTACACGCTCCCAAACGGTGGCAGGTACTATAGGAATCACCCTGTATATGACATGTATATAGAATGCGATGTAGAACCTAAGAATGAATACTATATAGGTTGCTCCATTTAAAATAAGCAAGTTGGCATCAACTTTTGGCATAACCGGAAGGAATTGAAAATAATTTTACATGAATTCCTCGTGAGCATTAGGTACTGTCAAATTTTTGACATACGGATGGTCAGTATTCTGCGTGGAACACCCTGTATACATGCTGTAGCAAATTGAAGAACAAATTGCTTTAAAATCCTTTTGCTTTCAGTTATTTAGCTACTTCCTATTTAAATTTGGTCTTAAATGATATAAATTAAAAAGACATACTCCTTAATTATTGTACAAAATTATAATTCGTTACGTTAAAATTGCATGGAATTAACTGAAACTTTTCAGACAAAATGGAACAGTCGGGAATTTTTACAATTTGTATACAATAAATAAAATAAATATTAGTATTAATAGTTGAGCACATCTTAGTATGTGTAACCCTAGCTGTAACCAAAATCATATCAAATTGAGTACTGTAACATGTTTGTGAAATACAAGGACTTATTTATTGTAATTAAAAATGTGTTCTTTAATTTCGATAAAATAGTTTGTCTACTGCTAGTATTTAATCCAATTCAATTCAAATTAAAATGCAATTTTGAACTGGTGGTATATAAGTATAAGCTAACTCAAAGGCAGAAGGTATAATAAATTACCATGGGAGCTAAGAAATTGTTTACCAAGGACATCCATAACCAGTAGCACAGACAAAATACCCTTTTATCTGTGCCAGTAGATTAACTAATTCACCCTGTATACTTATTTTCTATGAATAAACACTTGTTTTAACAACTGACAGTAAGTTACTGATCATGGAAAATACTTCTCTCTATGAGATAAACGTAGGTAGGTAGGTAACAAAAATTAAATTTATAATGCAACTAAAAATGTGCAAATATGCAGAAACACCTGTATATAAGTATTTCCTAACGAAATGACAAAACAAGGAATAATTTTGGTTCTAAAAATACAAAGAAGTAGGTGTACTTATCCTACCCAGCCATATACAAAAGGTGAAATAACTATTTTTAAACCACCATTTCACATAGTAGTGCAAATGACCCATCAATTTTTGAAGAAAATGTGTAACCAATCAATCTAACCCAACTGTGTATGACCGTTGATATGATGACAAAATTGGCTGTAATTTACACCAACAAATAGAGCAAGAAATTGGAAATTGTGCATAAGAATATGAACAGTTTTTTAACCTTTCGTTTCGACTTCATCGCCAGCATCTGCCTTTCCATTCTCCCCATCGCAAACATCTCCATTTTCCTTCTCGACCTTATCAGAGGAGTCTTCATTTTTTGTGGGAGAATCCACCACTTCTTTTTCCTTCAATTCGCACTCTGGAGTAGTGTCTCTATAAATAATTTTAATGTAGCTGACGTTGCAAAACCGTTAATTTAAATTATTAACACATTTAAAAATAAT